ATCCGCCCTCCGCCATCAACTATATCCATCCAATTCGCATCTAGAATAATACCCATCCATATCATTGCCTCACCTTACCTCCCATCCCGTCCTAGTTGCCTGACCCTATAGATAAAATATCTGTGCGATACCCAGCGCCAGCCAAACAGATCCCTCCCTGCGAATATCGACGCCCGAATCATCCTTCGAATCAATTCCGCCCTCCTATGTGTGGCTACGGACAACTCAGTTGACTGAACTGAGATCGTCCTTGAATTGAATGAACATAAAGGAAGCATCGGTAATGGAGTGTAGGGTCCGACATATGTGATTTTGACAGATTTCTCTGCTTGGATTTCAAAAGTCAACACGCATCCATGCTATCATTGAAACCTCTACAATTCACCATTCACATTAACTGGCTCTAGAATTTATACTTATTGCTGGTTCAATGTGTGTCTGAAATTCTAAAGTTTACGAATTTTGAGGTCTTTCACTCTGCCAGGTAAAACCTTTCTGGTGTGTTGTAGTCACCAACTGCAACTGTCCTAAAGAAAACTGTCTATCAACATTTCTTAAGCAAACTTCCTGCTCCCCTGCTCTCTGCAGAATAATCCCAGACACTGTCCGACATTGACTAAACATCAACTTATCTTCTTTCTTTCTTCTACTTCTTTATCATTTCCTCCCCTTATCAACCGCTCTCCATTTTAGGTTGGTTTTCAAATTCACACGAAAACCATGTCGGTCGCAACCATGCTCCAACCCTCGTCGAGAGCCTCCCGGGCTTCGACAGCCTCCTCGGCTTCTTCCTTCCAGCCAGTCTCCAGACAGAATACCTTTTCTTCCCAGCATGATACTCGATCTGTCAGACAATCAAAACGAATGTCTGTCACAGCGCTATACCTCTCAATGTCGGCTAAGGAGAAAGACCTCGAGATCTCTGATGATTTGGCTAAAGGTTAGTTGTAGTGCTTGGATACATATATAATCCTCAATTCATAGGTACTGGGCGGGTAGCTAACTCTCTATTCCGCTCTCTCATTCTAGCTCAACGAACTTTACGCGAGCTGAAGTCGAAGATCTCTTCCCAGTCCAAGAAGAACTTTGTGCTGGAAAAAGATGTTCGATACCTGGATTCACGGATTGCGCTTCTGATTCAGAATCGAATGGCATTGGAAGAGGTGTGTTGTTACACTTAATATGCGTTTAGTTTCATATAGGTCTGATTTCCTCGCAGCAAAACGAAGTCGCCAGCCATCTCGAAGATGCCAATGACCTCCAGGAGGGCTTTTTCCCCAATGATGATAAGACTCAGAAATATGGAAACCTCCTTTTCCTTCTACAATCTGAGCCCCGCCATATTGCGCATCTGTGTCGTCTGGTGACGATGGCGGAAATCGATTCATTGCTCCAGACAGTGATGTTCACCATCTACGGCAACCAATACGAAAGTCGAGAGGAACATTTGTTGCTAACCATGTTCCAGTCTGTTCTGACATATCAATTTGACAACACTCCAGAATATTCATCCCTTCTGCGCCAAAACACTCCTGTTTCTCGTATGATGACAACTTATACCAGACGAGGCCCCGGACAGGCTTATTTGAAGCAGGTGTTGGCTGACCAAATCAACTCCCTTATCGATCTAAACGACATTGATCTAGAAATTAACCCCCTGAAAGTGTATGAGAGCATGGTCCAGCAAATCGAATTATCCACTGGAACTCTCCCACCTTCTCTGCCAAAATCAGTAACTGCAGAGGTTGCTGCAGAGAACGAACAGGTCCAAAAGATCATTGTGCCCCGATTGAAGATGCTAACAGACATCGCAAACGGTTTTCTTGAAACAATCATTGAAGGTCTTGAGGAAACTCCATACGGTATCCGGTGGATCTGCAAACAGATTCGAAGTCTGTCAAAGCGGAAGTATCCCGATGCCCAGGACCAGACTATTTGTACACTTATTGGCGGCTTTTTCTTTTTGCGATTCATCAATCCCGCCATCGTAACTCCTCGATCCTACATGCTCATTGAAGCTACCCCAGCCGACAAGCCCCGCCGCACCCTAACTTTGATCGCGAAAATGCTACAGAACTTGGCAAATAAGCCGACTTATGCGAAGGAACCGTATATGGCCAAACTCCAGCCATTCATCCACGAGAACAAAGAGCGTGTGAATAAGTTTCTTCTCGACCTATGCGAAGTTCAAGACTTCTACGAAAGTTTGGAACTGGATAACTATGTAGCTCTATCCAAGCGAGATCTAGAGCTTCAAATCACCCTGAACGAAGTCTACGCAACCCACGCGTTGCTGGACAAACACAGCGCCACCCTCGCCGCCCAAGACCAGCACTCCCACCTGAGCCATCTGCTCCAGGAACTCGGACCTGCACCACCCCAACTACCCCGCAAGGAGAACCGAACCATCAACCTTCCCCTATTTAGCAAGTGGGAAACGGCCCTCGACGACCTAACATCAGCGCTAGATATTACCCAAGAAGAAGTCTACTTCATGGAAGCCAAATCAACTTTTGTCCAGATCATGCGATCCCTCCCTCACAACTCCTCTGTCACCCGCCGCCCCCTCCGTCTTGACCGCATAGCTGAAGCAGCTGCAACCCTCAAAAATGACGCCGTCATGGTCCGCAAGGGAATACGGACGATGGAACTACTCAGTCAACTGCAGGAACTCGGCGTTCTTGACCGGTCAGATGACTTCAGCCTCCTCCGCGATGAAGTCGAGCAAGAACTCGTGCACCTGGGCTCTCTGAAGGAGAAAGTACTTGAAGAAACTCGTAAACTGGACGAAGTATTCCGCACCATCCGCGACCACAATGCATATCTCGTGGGCCAATTGGAGACGTACAAATCGTACCTGCATAACGTGCGCAGTCAGTCTGAGGGGAAGCAGAGGAAGCAGCAGAAGCATCAGGAGTTGGGGCCTTATAAGTTTACGCATCAGCAGTTGGAGAAGGAAGGGGTTATTCGGAAGAGTAACGTACCGGAAAATCGGAGGGCGAATATTTATTTTATGTTCAAGAGTCCGTTACCGGGGACTTTTGTTATCAGTTTGCATTATAAGGGTGGGTGTTTTTTAACTTTAAACCTTCTTACTCCTTTCCCGATAATTTATCGGAACATTTATTAACATCCGTCTTACAGGTCGCGCTCGAGGTCTTCTAGAACTCGATCTCAAACTCGACGATCTTCTGGAGATGCAGAAGGATAACCAGGAAGATCTTGATTTGGAGTATGTGCAGTTTAACGTTTCGAGGGTTCTTTCATTGTTGAATAAGCGGTTCGCGCGGAAGAAAGGGTGGTGAATTTTACGAAACGGAACAGCCGAAGTATAAACAAAGAAAATATGAGGGGCACCGGTCTGGTATTTGTCTCAGTACCCAGTGCCCTGTTTTCCTTCAATTTTTTCGCTTGTCATATGAACGAGAAGAACGAAGGTTTTGATGATGGAATGGACGGGCAACAGAGGTGGGGTGAACGAGCGTGACGACTACAATATATCCACCCGTGTTCTTGGTCTCGATGGAGCCCCTTGGAGTTTCCCACTACGGGGTTGGAGGTGATGGTTTAAGCGGTCTGGAGGTTCGATTGGGAGAAGAATAAATATCATCTGCTCCCATTTTTCTACCCGCCTTGAGCACCGAACGGATCAGGTCATATCTTGTTTTTATTCTTGCTTTTATTCTTGAGTATTTTATTTCTTTTCATCTCTCTTCTATTTTTATGCACTCTGGAGTTTTTAAAGGTTTTGCATGCCCGCACTATTTGATTCCTCTTCTTTGAACATTGAGCTTCCGCGAATGTTTATGGTCACATTTTTGCTTATGTTTCGCTCTTTTATGTTCATTCTTCCCTTGTGCTGGTTGCCTTATCTCGTCTTGCCGCCTTTCCCTTGACGACGATCTTGATATCCTTTCTCTCTTTCTCTCTTTCTTTCTTTTTTTCTTCCAGTTTTGCAAGTCTTTTCCTCGGAACAAACCACAAGCTGAAATTCTCAATCCTCTTGCTTGGTTTCGGATGATTCCTCCCCTTTCAAGAATGAATATACCCTGCTGGTCGGGGGACTGACTTGCTCTGGGAATGAATTTTTATGAAATAAATGTTTTTCCTACTACGCTTTTGCACATACTCTCATGCACACATTCACATAGCAAAAGAACAGTAAGACAACGCATTCTGTGTCTTTCTGGGAGGGAAATCGCAGCAGCTCTGTACTACACCATCCCCTTCTTCAAATCCCATTTCATTTTTTTTCCCCTCCCCAACTGCGCCCCTGGTCCTCTGACTATAATACTCCTTTTGCTGCCTCTGGATTGAAGGCTATGATTAGTTTCATTCCTTTTTATATCCTTCCTGTTCTTCTTGTTCGGCGGATGATGTCTTTCTCCCAATTCTACAGTTTCTGCCGTTTCTGCAGTTTCTGTACCAGTGTTTCTTCAGGGCTCATGGCCCTCCGCTCTTCTCTTCTCACTCTATCCATTTTGATATCCCCTGAAACTGCGTTTCTCGAGGCATTCTTAACCTTCTCTCAATTCCGCTCTTTTATTTTCTCTTTTTCTCTTTTCTTTTGCCACATGTTGTAACATTATTCGTTGACCTGATATGCTTCACATTTCTGTGGCCTACGTGCCGCAGATGGGGGAACCGAGAGGAAGGGGTCGAAGGAAGAATGAAGAAGCTAAGTCTTTGTTTTCTTAAAAAAAAAAAAAAGAAAAAAGAAAAAAAAAAAAAAGGTACTGGGCTCAGTCAATCAGTTTATCAAGAAGTTTTAATGATGTGTCTGTCTTCCCTTGCTTGTTTCTGTTATTCCACTCCTAGTCTATTTTTACAGAGGCTTTTCTGTATTTGGCCCCGAATGAATTGAATCCAGAAAACCCCTAGGTAGTAGTAGGTGCAGGTATTTACATGTACTTTGCTCGCCGCATGTTCAGGTAGTTAATGGAACACGGTTGATTCTTCTTTTCACGGGAGTAGTGGATCACTTATGCTCGATTCAACGCTTCTTTAAATATATGCCTATATTTGCCCTCGACAATGAGGATGCCTAACTTGGAGATGCCAGCAATCTAGCCATCCTCTGTCGCGCCGTATTTTGTTGTTTCGCTCTATGGATGGGGGTAACCGTAGATAGCTCCCAGGGTATCAACTCTTCGCCCCCCCCCCCCCCCCCCGCCCCCAACACACACCTTTTTTTCGTCGGGCTTCATAGGGCTTCGTGGGAAGTCCACCGGCGATAAAAGAGGGAAAACCCAACTAACTGTAAGTTAACCATTAGTTACCTAGTTGCTTACACTAACTATATGATATGGCATGACATATATTCATGCTCTCAATTTGCTTGTTTAAGAAAGCTTCAGGATTGAAGGAGATGTCCGAATTTATTTATGCCCGGGTGCCTCACGAATTACCAGAAGGCAGTTAGTTCTCTGTTTAACCGGGTAACAAACATCCTTCAACGGGCTTCAACTCCACCAGTCGAAAGCCCAGCCAACCAGACCGCCAGAATCAGACTCCACAGAGTAAACAACCACCGGGACCAGCGACAGGAACAGCGCAGACAAATATTTATCCCCTGAGATAAAAGCACCAAGGACTAGAGCAGAGACATAACAGCCCAATAATTTATACTTAATATTAATTATCCCATTTGACACGTAGAGGGGGAGGCGCAGTGCAACCTCCAAAAGAGAGGAAAATAAAATAAATAATAAATAATAAATAAATAAATAAATAAATAAATAAATAAACTAGTTATTTTCCTGAACACCAAACCAAGAATTTCCCTCACTTAATTGCCCTCCCTTTTTTGCCTCCGAGATCTGATCTATAGATAAATACTACAAAAACTTACCTCAATAGCCACCACATTCCACCCTCAACTCCTCTCCACTCCTCTCTGAATAGAAGACCCCATCTCCCTTTCATCACCCACTCTCTCAAAACACCCGCTTTCCTCCTCCAAACCGCTCAGTTATTCTTATCTCAACTAGCCACCCAGCGTCCATTTCACAAGCACCAAAAACCACAGTCTTGAAAAGGTAAAAAGGAAAGAAAAGACAGGAGGAAAAGACGGAAACAACAAAGCCAGATAGCCCCAGCACAATGAACAACTCCTTAATCACACCCTCGCACCCACTCGAGCTCGAACCCAAGTACGACGACTATGACTTCCCAACCACCGCCCCAGACGCCCAATCGGGCCACCCAGGTCACACCACCCCCGAGCAGGATGCACAGGTCTTCCAGCTCCGGACCATGCTCGAGCAGCTGGGCTATACCGAGCGTCTGGATACCTTGTCCCTGTTGAGGTTCCTGCGTGCGAGGAAGTTTAATGTGGAGGCTGCGAAGACTATGTATGTAACCGTATACCTTGTTGGGATGGTTGTGGTTGAGATCTATTGTTTTGTTAGCGGTGGGTGGTGCTGCTTGGACTGGACTGGACGATAGGAGTGGTAGATATATATATATATACAGAAGATATATCTTGATATATCTATAGGTGGATTGAGGTATACTGACGGCCGTGTTGTTTGTTAGGTTCGTTGATTGCGAGAAATGGCGGCAGGACTTTGGCACGAACGATCTCGTGCATACTTTCGAGTACCCGGAGAAACCGCAGGTGTTTGAATATTATCCACAGTATTATCACAAGACAGATAAGGTACGATATTCTGTTCCCTTTCTTACCTGCTGCCCTTTCCTCCGGGAATAGATGTACAGGGAGATATATCAACCCCAATCCTATCCCACACCAACAGCATCAATCAAACTCCCAACTAATCAATCTTAACCCTATGATCCAGGATGGCCGCCCCGTCTACATAGAACAACTGGGCAAAATCGACCTAAACGCCATGTACAAAATCACCACAGCAGAGCGTATGCTCCAAAACCTAGTCTGCGAATACGAAAAGCTCGCCGACCCTCGACTCCCCGCTTGCTCGCGCAAAGCCGGCCGCCTCCTCGAAACCTGCTGCACAATCATGGACCTCAAAGGCGTGGGCATCACCCGCGTCCCTTCCGTCTATGGCTACGTCAAACAGGCCTCAGCCATTTCGCAAAACTACTACCCCGAGCGGCTGGGCAAATTATACCTTATCAACGCCCCCTGGGGTTTCTCCAGCGTCTTCAATGTCGTCAAGGGCTTTTTGGATCCGGTTACGGTACAGAAGATTCATGTGTTGGGCAGCGGGTATGAGGCGGAGCTGTTGGCGCAGGTGCCCAAGGAGAATCTACCAAAGGAGTTTGGAGGGGAGTGTCAGTGTGAGGGTGGCTGTGCGCTGAGTGATATGGGTCCTTGGCAGGAGAAAGAGTGGGCGAGGGAGCCCAAGTGGGCGAAGAAGGAGGTTCATGGTAAGAAGAATGAAAAGAAGGAGGTGAAGGAGGTGGAGGAGGTGGAGGCTTCGACGGCGGAGAAGCAGGAGGAGACGGCCAAGGAGACGGCCAAGGAGACCATTAACCTGTCGAGTAATGGGGAGCTTACGGCGTAGAATTGCTATCTTCCCTCTTCTTTTCTTTTAATTTTCTTTTCTTTTAAAATTTTTTTTTTGTTAAATTTTACTTTTTTTTGTTGTCCAGTGCGGCCTTTTTGATTGACACGAGAGGAAAACGAGATGGGCGCATGCCTGCTGTTCTTTCATGCCATATATATATATATATATATATATATTGTGACCATTGCAGTCCCCCTTATTTAATTCGAATATATATTCCAGTCCACATCGCCTTGATTTTGAGAAAAGAAATATTTATAACACGGTGTTGTGAGCTTCCTCCACATCCTCCATAGAAAGACTGTTAGATTTTGATGTATGTCGCCTTTTCAGCATTTACCACAATGTCTACTGCCCTGGTGTTCTCTAGCCAATTCAACCTCTTTCATCACGTCTGTTCCATTCGCCCAGTTGATCTTGCTCTGTCTGCCTGTTTGGTTGCTATCTCCAAAAAAAAATTATGTCGTGCCCGTATGCCACTTTATTCTACCTCCTTGCTGTCGTAACTCTAAAAGTTATTTCGTCCCAATCTTAATCCTTGTACTTACGATTGGTTCTGTTTCTTATTAACCTAAATTTTTCCAGATCGCATGTCTATGTCTCCTGGTCTTCGGCAGAACCCATCCCTCTGCACTGTGTCTGTTGGTTAGCGGACTAGTCACTTAAAAGCATGTTCTTCTTTTTATTATTCACTTGCTTTAGACCTACACACCTTGTAGATAAGTATATTGAAGGGAGAGTCGGAAAATAAAAAGAAAGAAAGAAAGAAAGAAAGAAAGAAAGAAAAGACGAAGACAGAAATTAAAAGGGAGGATAGAAATTAGGAAAACATCTGTCCGGTTTTTGCTCTTAAGAGGCTGATAGATATCCCGTCGTTGATCTATTACTTATTCACACATGTAACGAAATTGCAAAGAGAAGCGACTGTGAGTATATACGGGTTAATTCATTAAGAGGTATCTTTCCGCAAAAAGCCAATTAAAAGACAACATCAATACCCATCCCATTTCCAAGATGCAATATCCAATTGCCCAAGTACCCAGTTCCCAGAGCCCAAGACCCTGAACACCAGCCGATCCCATTTAAAAGCAGTCCAAAACGCCCCTCTGGAAACAAACGAAATCAAGATAGAGAAGAAAAAGAGCAGAAGACACAGATGAATCATGATCATAAATGCTCCACGACCTCCGCCGCCCTCCTTGCCCTCTCCACCTTGCCCACCGTCGCTGCAAGTCCACTATCACCCTCAACTTCATCCCCGCCTGCCTGTACATCTCCATCCCCATCCTGCAACCTCACCAACGTCTTCAATACGTTTGCATACACCTCCTCCACCCCCCCTTCAATCCACCTCCTCTTCGTCCCCTCTGTACTTCCATATGGAACATGCAACGTGAAATCCTCCTTGCTTTGACCCTCTCTGCCCCTTCGTCCTTGACATCGTAACTGTGCCGTATCACCCCCTTCCCCTACCTCTCCCTCTCCAGCATCCGGCATGCTCACATCCCCTTGCTCCTCCCCCTCCCCTCCTTCCTCCTCACCCCAATCCTCATCCTCCTCCAGCATAACCTCCCTCAACGCCTCAGCATACGCCCCCGCCGCCCTCCCCGGCGCATCACGCCTCAGCTGCGCCACCGTCGTCGTCAACGACTCCAACTGCGCATACAAAGCCGCCACTCGCGCCGCCAGCGCCGTGTCATACGGTTCATACTCCACCGCCTCTCGCGCGTGCAGAAACGAGATGGGCCCTGCAACATCGTCCGTGCCATCTGCATTACTGCTGCTGCTGCTGCTGCTGTTTTTAAAAGACTCGGCCGGCGAGAGGCCATTGATGCTTATGGAAGGGGCGGCAGTGAGGAAGGTTTTGTGGATGAAGTCGTCGACCAGGGTGCGGACGCGGGATTTCATGGGGTCATTGTCGGGGTCTTGGTTGTGGTTTTGGGTGGAGGTTGGGTCCGCGACTGCGGAGGCCGGGGGGGGGAAGTGGAGATCTAGCTTTTGGCGCGAGAGGGAGACGATGTTTGTGTAGAGGTATGAGAGATCAGCGGGTGATTGGAGTTCGATTTTGCGGTGGTGAGGGGCCTGCATTTTACGGCCGCTTTTCGGACTGGATAGGTTTCTTTTTTTTTCTTTTTTGATCTTTTTTTTCCTTTTTTTTCTTTTTCGGTTGTGGGCAATATCCCCTTTACCCTCGTATCCCTGTGGACAAGGTTAATGAGTAGTGGAATGATGCATTAGAATTCTTATATTATTGTTCAATGTTTTTTGGGAGACGGACAGATTTATATGAAGTTATCGCGATGTTGATATGAAGGCCCAATTTGGCTTAGCGTCGATGCATCCACGATGTCATCGCGGGAACTTTGGGAACTTGGAACTTGATAGAGTACAACCAACCTCCGCAACAACCACGAAAGCAGTGGCAGAGATGAGGGGAAGTAGAAGAAAAGATCTCGGGAGTAAACCAAGCTCATTCGAGACCTTTAGGAAGCTTCCTCTCTGCTGCTCTCTTTGAAGCTAACTAACACACCCATAGCAACCTCGGTGGATCAGTTAACGATATACACCGATGGAGCTGCAGCTTTAGCAGTCCACGACTGCTTTCATTCCGCTGCACCGTCATTTGTCGTCCCGCCAGCAGACGATTTAAGGCACAACTTTTCCTCTTTACAATTGGCCATTTCTACTCATGGTCACTACTAAATCTGTTTAAACCTCTTCCTTCATACGTGCTGCCGCCATTTTCTCAGAAACAATGTCGGTCACCAGCCCAAGGATATCCCTCGTCGACAACACTGTGCCTGATCGAACCTCTCGTATAGGTGGGGGTGAGGGAGGGGGAGATCTAAGCCTCTCAGCAAGCTCACCCACGGTAACCACAGTGACGAAGAAATTAACAAAAGAATCCGTGAAAGATAGCTTCCAACGAAGGAAATATGCGAAGTTCCAGAAGAATAAATATGGCAACGGAGATGGATACGATGGTGTCGAGGGGGAGGGTGAAGGCCGACTCAGCCTGGATATATCTCCATCTCACCGGGATTCTCCGGACAGAACGGTAGAACAGCAGACCCCGACAGGCAATTTCACGAATCCCAGCAAACAGACTGCCGCCGAAACCGTTGAGGTCGCGTCGGAATCTGCCCAGGTCCTTCTAGACCCCTCGTTGTCCCAGGAACACCCTGGAGCGGGCGAAACTAGCGAAATCGACGTGTTGTACGAGAACCAGCGCGGCTGGTGGTTCTTCGGTGTCCCTCTGTATTCAGCAAAATCACTACTGCACCTGGACCCATCTGCTTGGCTCACCCGCAACCTCGAGGATAGTCCCGTCAATATCACGAATGCGCAGGTGCCCGACCCCAGCTGGGAATGGGCGTGGGATACGTGGTATATCGACATGTCCTACGATGTCGATGAGGGCGGGTGGCAGTATTCCTTTGCGTTCTCGTCGCGGTTTGGGTGGCATGGGACGCATCCGTGGTATCACTGCTTTGCACGCCGGAGACGATGGTTGAGGAAAAGGGTTAAGAAAGTTAGCATTGGAGCTGAGGAGGATATTGTTACCTTAAATGAGGTTTGTTTTACGGTTAGTTCGTGTCGGGCGCCAAGTGTTGGACTTCGGAGTCAGCGGGTAAGCCGTGGGACGCTTTCGAGTGCGGGTGAGATGAGAGCGGATGACATTTTGCCTGACGATATTACCAATATCGGTATGTTATTGAGCGCGATGAAGATGGCTCCGTTGGATAGAGATAAAATTCTCGCTATTCAGCATTTCGTGCAGTATGGAGGGGAGGACTTGTATTTTCTTCCGGAAAAGGTATGAATTCAGCTACCCTGTTACCTTTGTGTATGTTTCCTGCTTCTACTCTTTTTAAGGATTTTGTCTCAAACTTTGTCAATGCTAATTAACACCTATGTTTCTGCCTTGTTTATTACAGATGCCCGAGATTCTATCACTATTCATGTATAAAACCTCCTATCGGCACCTATTAGACTACTTTATACAGGCTATTGAGAGCATTCCCGCAACATCTAAGGGGGCTGAAAAACAGAAGCGAGAAAGCCTTATCAAAGTCATCGAGGACGAGAAGCTGAAAGGGCTGCATTTCTGGTGTGATAAAAAGGCAGTGGCTAGGGAGGAACGCCCTCTATTGACAGATGGCGGAGTGGGCGAATCGAATGACCAGCCTTCCCGAAGATCCAAAGGCAAGGAAGTTGTGCGGAACGTGGAAGACAGGGAGTAAGGAGCATTAATTCGTTATGGTATCCGTCCATGGCGGGATACGGAGATATAGCACATAAATATATGCATCACCGGGTGATATAGTTCTGAAGCTGCTCAGTGGTTGGCTCCTAGTTACCGTGTGTATGATACGAGCTGCAATACTTGACATTGACAGTTGAGCCATAATTTGCTTGTCAGCTAGTTATATCACCTTACTTTCAGTGAACTGCCCTTTATCCTGCGCTGTCTCATTAGCTATTAAATATTCCGTTTTTCGGTGCTTTGGAGACGTTTAAAACCGAGTCCCTCAGGAGAGAAGAGGACTTCACGTGACCAGCACATAGCCTAAACCTTCCCTTTTATATTTCTTCGCTTGGGACATATAATTTTAGGCGAAAAAATATCTCCGCAAAGATCCAAACCTCAAAAATGCATCTAACAAAATCATCACTTAGACTCTAACTTTAAAGCGCTATCACTGATGCACCCACGAGCAACCAAGTGTCGCAGTATTCTGCCTGCCACTTAGGATTTTCACTCCAATGCTCTCTGGGACTCACCGGGGTCTGAGAAACCGGGTGTCATTCTCTAGAGCTCCTTGCGACCATGCCGCATTCTCTCGCAATGAGCCCATTTTACCGTTTTTATACCCGCGCGGGCTCCTTTTTACACTGACCTGGGAGAGGCATGGGCAGGGCCCAACTTACCCTTTCAGATCAGGCAGTAAACGGTTAAATTCAACTTCCTATCGTTGCAGATTTGCCAGCGTAACTCTTGATACCTCGCGCAAATATTCTGGGAAAACACAACCCTCCATGTCCGATTCCCCGCCAACGGATTCAAATCTTGCGCAGCATGATGAATCAAGCGACGTTGATAATGGAAATTCACGGGAACTGGGCGGATACAAACAAACCGACAGCAATGGTCATGGTCCTGGACCATGTCCTAGTCGTCATGGTCCGGTCAACATTCGAACTGTCCGTTCTGAACCGTGGTGGATTAAGAACCCGCCAGGCGGGAGGCGACCAAAACCAAATTATGTATATGAGAAATGGATGGATGTAATGAATGAGATCAAGACTTTACCGAAAGCTGCTGCGGACAAACCCCCTCCCGAGTATGCCAAAACCATATACCTCTCTGAAAGAGATGTTGTTACCTTAACTGGATACGAGTGGGAGAACTTGTGGTATGTCAAAACGTTGAGCGGATGCCGAGTCCATGTATTACCACGGGAATACGATTCCGAAGATTCGATGCGCAAAGTCGTACTCACGGGTTCTCGGGAGGCTGTTAAATTGACTGAGGAAGAAATTCGGGCGGAAATCCAAGCGTCTTATGATTCTGGAGATTCTCCTGACTCTTTACCGCCTTTTGTGTTTGGACACGAGTGGAAGGACAAGCAAGATATGGACATTCCAACGATACGGTCTGTCTGGACACGCGGAGAGCGGTTGATGTCTGACGGGGAAAGATCTAGAAACCCGATCCGGGCAGATGAAATACGAATACCGAAGCAGTGGACTATTAAAAGCTTTGGCGACTATGTCGAACGGATAGTCAATCTGGCCTTCTCAAGCCCTGTCCATCGTCTGATATATCAAAATGGGACCCGAAACCGAGTCGTTATTATGGGAATTATCCGCGATCTGTTTACTGATTCCAAGTTAGGACAGTTCCTGTCTACCCGAGCGGTGAATTTAGCCATATTCTTCTGCTATCGATACCCTGACTTTTTACCAGACCTTTTACAGCTATTTCCTAGGTATGAGCATCTGATGACCACAAGGACTTTCAATGCACTCCTGAAGGGTTGTTCGAGAAACCATGACCTGGAGAGATTTCGTTATATCATCACATTGATGAAACGGTTTAGGGTTAGACCGAATGGGATGGAATGGGTGACTTTCGTTGAAACAATCTTATCCTCATCAATCAAGCAAAAAGTGGTCGCGAGCCTGCGCAAAGATGGACTTCTGAATGACCAGAACATCCTCCGTCTTCTCATATATGAGATCATTCCTGTTTCCTTCAGATCTCATCTGGATAGCGGCCAGACAGCCCAAGATTATTTTGAAGTCATGGATAGGAGATATGGACATGACTGGATGTGTACTGATATGGTCAACAGAATGCTGAGAGTGACGAGATGCAACAAGGACGTTGATGCAGCTCATCAGATTATACGGCGCTCTAAGGAACGGCATATACAACTGGATACGCAGTGCATGAACTTTTGCCTCGCCTTGTACCTTAACAAGGGCTGGTACCCTCAGGGACTCGACTTCTATTTGGACTTTGTCAATGACTTCCCAAATGTAGCCATAAACAACGAAACTGTCCGCATTCTTTTCAGCCTAGCCTGGAAAGCTAAATATTACAACACCTGCCGGGTTGTTTGGAGATATTCCTGCCTCTTGGGCCTAGCAAGCTCGAACATGAGACATCTGGTTTTGTCCTCCCTTCTCCGAAACACCATCCACGACCCGGAAAACTACCACCAAGACTGGCACAAGAAAGTTGGTAAGGTCGTTGTCGGGATCGAAACCAGCGTTGCCGATATTGGCACGCGCTTTGACTCTCTTAATACTGATGGATCAACCGAACCTGATCAATCGTTGTTGGATGACAACAGCAGCCTCGTGTCATTGCTGGTAGATTATCAACCCAACGGCGAATTACGGGATAAGCAGCGGGAACTTGCCACGCATGCCATCGACAGGGATGCTAGGGCGACGTGGAGCTTTAAGCCGCTGGCAAAATTCGAGTACATGATGTGGCAGGCTCATGAGATGGATATAGCGTGGCAATCGACTCCGGGCGCTGCGGACATGTCTGTTGACGAACTGGTTCGGAGAGCAATTGATGTCCCCGTAGTCAAAAGGCCGATTGCCGGTAAGTGGAAGAAAAGCCAGGTCTCCGGTAAAGGGGATGAAATTGGGGAGGTTTGGGGGGAAGGACATGAACAAGAAAAATACAGTGAGGAAGAAAGAGAATATGGGAAGGGAGAAACTGATTTACATGCCAAATCTGCCGGGACACAGGGGGAGGCTAAGGAGAGGAGATCGACGCAGAGTGGAAATACTATTTCGGTGGAGGAGGTTCGGGATATTTTGGAAAGACGGGGAATATCGTGGACAGGCGGGGAGAAGTCTTCGAAGAGAAGGTAGTGGTAATTTAAAGCTTGCGACTGGAGTGAAGGTCGAGAAGATGTCCCTTTTTCTATCTAAGATATTTGTATGCCATCTGGACCTTTTTGCTTCCTCCCTTTTATGATAATATTATAGCGGCGGCGTTGATGCGTTATACGGCTAACATCAAAAAGCATCTCCCCTTTTTCTGCGTGTGCTTCTATTTCCGTTTGCTATTTTCTCAATCTTTTCTTTGATTCTTTCGAGGATACCAAGATAGATTATTGAATTTTTGTTTGCTATACTTCGGTGATTCTCATCTGGTGTGCTTGTTGTCTTGGGCATGTCATTATAGAAGGGACACACCCAGCTTCCCGTGGTTTTTCATATTCTGCTCTGCGGATGGGATATTTTGGGCTGGGTGCTTTGTATATTACTACTCATTGCGTGTATTCACATAAACACCTCGCTAATTCATAGAAATGGATTTGAAATCTGACAAAAGGAAACCTCAGATCCACGCATGGATTTCTACTCTCCGTAGACTACTTTGATAAGTATATTGACCCGGTCGCTATTTAGCTTTTCAGGTGAAAAGGGTCTTTAACCTTCATTTTGGAGATTCTAAATTCAATTTGCTGGGAAATAGACATGGCTATCGCCAGCTTGGAGCCAACAATCTATGCTCGGATCCCATGAAAGCCCGGGATTCCGAGCCTGGAAAAGTGCTGCTTCATCGCCATTGTTGCTCCATTCATTTCAATTAGCCACGGGATATCTCTTCGATCTAAGTTAAACACAAATGCCTAAGTTCTGACACACGATCTACTTCATACATTCCTCTCATAACGTCCATTTTCAATCCGTAAACCATAATCAATATGTATGGTGCCCCGAATGCTCCCCGTTCTCATGCCGTGGCAACTCCTGAGAGTTATATCCGTACGGGTCGAGGGTGGTCGGAATGGACCCCACACCCTCCTTCAGATATAGCACAAGCCGGAATGCGGAGTTGCCATTGAGATAGTAGCGATGCAGCTGCTTGCTGCGTAGGAAGCCCAGACGTTCGTACAGTTTCATAGCTGCCGTATTGGTAGTTTCGGTTTCGAGGACGATCTGAACGTTGATCGGGTGTTAGTTGGTTGCTTGTGTTGGCGGGGGTGGTTAAACCCGTGAGTCGTACCCCTCGTACACTTGTGCGGCGTGAAGTGGGTGGGAGATACTGCTTTTGTGATGGGCACAAGGAAGAGGAAATGGAAAAAATGTCACACCTCGTCTGCATTTCTAGCGGTCATTGCATCAATAGCCATACACACAAGCTTCGTCGCAATGCCTTTGCCTCTGTGTTCTTCCTTCACAGCTAACATGGCAATATAACCACGTAGCGGCCCGCCGCGATGCGGTTCGAGCTTTGACACGATAACCCCGATCAGGTTGTTTTTTTCATCCATTGACTATATACACACACACACACATATATATATACACATATATTAGCCCGATCGGTGTCGACAGCAATGAGTTCTTATGTAGGAAAGGGGGGGGGCTTCAGCTGGGATACAAAAAGGCGGTGACTGACCATGTAGCACAGGTCACCCCATTGATAGAGAAAGTATCTGTAGACATAGATGCTGTACGGCTCGGAAAGGTCTTTGGAGATCAGCTGGCGCATTGCAGTGACATATTCGTTCTCCTTGTCGCTTTCATATTGGACATAGCGGTGTTGTTCAGCGACAGCTGGAGTGCTGGATGCCGCATTGTCAGGCATCGTGGACGTAAGAGAGTCGGGGTTGCGGTTTCATAGGGAGCTTTTCTTTTTTCCCATTTAATTTTCAACAAGATTCCTGCATCCATAAAACGGCCATTCAACTCAGGAAGAACAACCCCTCAGTCAGTCTGTCGGAGTGAGCGAGCTCCAAGGTGGGGAATGTTAGCTGCGTTAAGGTTGCCCGTCTAAGCTCCAATAAAATGCTTGGATGTTGCTCGGCACAGGCCAACCATCGTTCAATCTCTTCCTCAATACGTTCGACAAACATCACCGCAAAGTCTGCACTTTGTCCCTCTTCCCATGTGATTCCCCGCCTGTTAAGACGGGCAGGTCAGCCCAGTCGACGGCATCTAATCTATGTATTTATCAATATATAAAAATAACCAAAGTCTCTGAAATTCCCGCCGAGAAACCATATTGGTATTCACCCTACCTACACTATGTCAAGCCTCCGCCGTCGAGTCGGGGATATATTCGCGACCACTCGCGCCAGCTCCGCACCCGGCGCATCCGCCGCAGCTACCCCCGATAACGCCAACGACGACAACAGTGGAAGCAGTAGCAGCAGCGGCAGCAGCAGCAAGAATGCTGTGGTGGTGGATGACAATGGTGGGAAAAAGCTTCGTTTCGGCCCAGCCTTAGAACTTCAGGAAATCTGTGTCAGGCGGAGGAGTAAACGGCGTAATGGGTTGATATTCGGACTTGGAGGCATTTTTGGGATATTCTTAGCTCTATTTTTTGCAAACCAGAATGAAGTCATTAGTTTGGATGCACTAATGGATCTTAATTTGGATTCGTTAATGGATGTTATGCCGGCCGGCATGATCAGAGATGCCAGCCAGTTCTCGGTATTGCCCTCCTCTATTTCCGCTCCTGGTTCTCCTCCTCTCGGGGTAATCACTTACAGTCGACGCTAATTGTTGGTATTCTTCTTATCATGTAGCAGACGGAACGGGAAGCGGTTAGCTATGATGCCTTTTCGGTTGGCCTCAGTCTTAAGACTCAGGGAATAACCGCAAATCATTCTATTATTATGGTCCCCGGAGTGATATCAACGGGGCTGGAGAGCTGGGGAACTGATGAAAAGTCAAGACAATACTTTAGGAAAAGGTTATGGGGAAGTTGGACTATGATGAGGGCACTCGTTCTCGACAAATCTAGCTGGAAAAATCACATTATGCTCGATAAGTTTACGGGACTTGATCCCTCGGGTATCAAGCTTCGAGCTGCGCAGGGTTTTGATGCGACAGATTTCTTCATCACGGGTTACTGGATCTGGAACAAAATTTTGGAAAACCTTGCTACCATTGGTTATGATCCAACTAATGCTTTCACTGCCGCTTACGACTGGCGACTTTCCTATCTTAATCTTGAAAGGCGTGACCATTATTTCAGCAGACTCAAGGCATACATTGAGACGGCTGTGGGACTTTCGGATAGGAAAGTTGTTCTTGTTTCGCATAGCATGGGCTCTCAAGTAGCCATGTTCTTCTTCAAATGGGTTGAAAGTTTGGAGCATGGGGGAGGAGGCCCTGACTGGGTAGAAACACACATTGACTCGTGGATTAATATTAGCGGCTGCATGTTAGGGGCCTCCAAGGGAGTCTCAGCTGTCCTGTCAGGCGAGATGAAAGACACTGCACAACTGAACGCCTTTGCAGTCTACGGGCTCGAGAAGTTTCTCTCAAAGGAAGAGAGGGCGGATTTGTTTCGCGCCATGCCTGGTATATCGAGCATGCTCCCCAAGGGTGGAGACGCTATCTGGGGAAATAGCACATGGGCGCCAGACGACCAAGAAGGCCAACCTTTCACCTTTGGAAACTTCATAAATTTTAAGGAGACGAATTCATCAAAGACGCAAAGCAACCTTACCGTAGACGGGGCACTACCTTTCCTCTTCAAGCACACGGACCAATGGTACAGAGATCAGGTCGAGCAAAATTATTCTCACGGCGTCGCTCATACGACAGCAGAAGTCGAAGCGAACGAAAAGGATCCACGCAAGTGGCTGAATCCGCTTGAAGCCCGCTTACCCATCGCCCCAAACTTGAATATATATTGCTTCTATGGCGTGGGCAAGCCTACAGAGCGGAGCTACTTTTACCATGACGATATCGATCCCCTATCAAAGCTGAATGTCAGTATAGATACAACAGTGACGAACGGGATTGTGGATCGGGGTGTGGTCATGAGCGAGGGCGATGGCACCGTCAACCTGCTCAGTCTGGGGTATATGTGCGTGAAGGGATGGGGGATTAAAAGATATAATCCTGCTGGTGCAAAAGTGAAAGTGTATGAGATGCCGCATGAACCTGGTCGGTTCTCGCCTCGTGGAGGCCCGAATACAGGTGAGCTACATGGACGCTTAATTTTATCACTTGTGCGTTCCACCCCCCCTTACCCAAACATGTTATTGTTGTTGTTGTTGCTGTTGTTATTATTCATGGGAAACCATCCTCTGACGGTGCACACATATATTTAGGTGACCATGTCGACATTCTTGGTCGATCACTCCTCAACGATTTAGTTCTTCGTATCGCCAGTGGGAGAGGCGACATGGTGGAAGACCACTTTGTCTCTCGAATAAAAGAATATTCTGACCGCGTTAAGATCAGCGAGGAGGAATGATCATTGAACCTCAACTATCTATCATCCATCTTGTACAAACAAAATGACCTTCATAGATTCAGTTCTTCTTTCCTTTTCTTCCGTTGATTTTTGGAAAATCCTTGGAAACCACACGGCCCTTCTCACATATCCACCGTCATTAATGTACAGAACCTGTAATATTTCCTTTATCACTTCTCTCCTGTATATTCCTTTTTTTTTTCTTTCTTTTTTTGGGAAAACAACCGTTTTCCCCCTTGGTCTTTGCTTTGGAGAGGTGTAAATCATCCTTTTTGTCCTCTATATCCCTCTTCTCTTTTGCAATTATAGATGGCCTGGTAGCAATTGCCACTTTCTTTTGCTGTGTTCTGACTATGGCTAGGTTTTTTTGAATATTGTTTATGCCTCAAATGACAAACAAACCGCGACGAATTTCATATCTCATTCTGAGAACATTTTTCTCTTCTGAGCTTCAGTTTTGTGTTAACACATCTTCAGAAATAATTTGACTTGGGCTAATTCCAAACCCCTACTACTGTCTGTGTTGAGGGAGGGTGTCGAAAACTTATCCCATGTTTTGCACATGGTGTCTGAGTGAAGAGACAGAGTATTGTGAGGTACCTACGATGGCAGCTTGGTTCATGGTGATCGAGTGTTCCAGAACCCTACGCACATACGAGAACACAGGATACATCCATATCGTGGGTTAGGTGATAGATACTCCAACATCGCATGCATACAGATGAATGAACAATCCTATTTTTTCATACACAATTGGAGTCTTTCCTTAAAAGACAGACCTCAGGGAGACGGGAGGGGGAGAGAATTGTGGGTAAGAAAAAATCAGGCATAGATTGAATTTTGGACAACCCACCACATGCCCTGGCGTAACTAAACCCCGTCGCTGATATGTAATCATTCGATTCAGTGGCAGGAGGAGAGGATGAAAGGTCAGATTCAATTATTTCCAGAGCTTTGGGGAACTCTGAAAATCACAGCATTTTCCAACTTCGAGAACCCACCAGAGCGGGCGATGAAGAGAGCTGACGAGCACGGAAGAACTTGGGCATTGAATATTATAACAAAACCTTTGGACAAATGAAACGCATGACGAGAGGGGGGGGGGAAATTCAATGGAATGTGGGAATAGAAAAGAAAGAAAGGTTAAGAAAGAAAACTAGGAAAATAAAAAGTATGTTCATCAAAGTATTAAATTCAGATTTAAGTGTTATTGTGAACTTGCTGCGTCCTTCTAGTGAATGGTAGCCGCTTAATTGGACCGTTAATCGAGGAATGCATACATAGAACGGATGGATGATACCACATAGCAGGTGGATTCCGATGAATGTAGTTAGCTATCGTATCGTGCCATTAAAGAGTGGCCCAACTTGTAGTCTTCGACCTCAAAAAATATTCATCCATAGCTTTGGATTCAGCTACAGTGGCAAGTCATGTCGATAATTTTATTTTAATTTTATTTTATTTTATTTTTTTTTTTTAATATTTCGGGCTGATCCAAGATATAAGAGATACGGAGAAGCTCATATATTTTTTCTTGGAAATCAATAGCCCAAGGGAGAACAGACAGTTTCGCAACGTTACTTGTCGGATAATGGCAAGTTCTGCACCGCTTTTGGAGAAAACTTCTTTGGTAATCGCTGAAATATCGTGATGGATAACATTGAAGAGTAAAAAGGTGGATGCATCAGCATCATCGCCAGCAATTACAAAGGGGTTTTCCAGATCCCGAGTTTGCCCCAGTCCGAGGAAGGGGTTGAACCCGCAGTGGAGTATTTAGATGCCTCACTCGGAACATGCGAGGAAACTAGGAGGTGCATTTTGGATCTCTCGCCCCGGGCCTCTTTGAAGACTTCGAAACACACATGTCTGCACAAGCGCAAATTTGGATCACCTTGGGATTGCTGGGGGCTAGGTTTTCAGCAGGAGCTTCTGCTATTTTGTGTGGAAGTGTGCTAGACGGGAATGGAGAGGCCCCTATCATGGCACTGTCGGGGGGGGGGGGGGCCACAGGCTTTCTGAATCAGATATAAATTTTGAAAGCGTTAACTATCAAATCTGTTGAACTTCTGTGATATATCATGAAGAATAACCAGCACCTGTCAACAAGTCAATGATGAAGATTGGGATTTCCAGTGCCTCAGCATTGACATGTCAATGTCGACAGCACAGTTGCAACTTACCCAGCCATGTTCACATCCCAACTTTTCCAAATTCTGCGGGGGCATTAATGTCGGTTCCAAGGGGCGGCGGCAGCAGCAGCAGCAGCAGCATCTCACATAATTGCAAGTCCGCATTCCGGGCCTCCTGACTCGTTAACCCCTGACAAAAAGCCAAAAAAAAAAAAAAAAAAAAAAAAAAAAAACCCAATCTCGAGTTTTGGGGAGGAAAGACTGGATTCCGAATTGCATTATGCGGGCCGATTTATGGGGTAATTAAATTCAAAGCCGTGGGTGTTTATGTTGCGAAAAAGTGGGCTAACTAGGGGTAAACCAACTACGAAGATGAGACGAAAACCTTTGGAAAAATAAATAAGAGTTGTCCTGAAAACAGGGGTGCTTTCAATCCTGGAACAGCGAGCGGGCCTCCCCTGGGGGGAACCATCGAAAAACCGCCCTTCATACAAAACGGACGAACACGAATAAGAAGGGTGGCTGGGGAAATAATACATGATTGATTTATTTATTAATGCTGTATAGAGTATTCGAAACAGACAACAAATAATATAGGCCCTTCCAACAGGGCCGGGAGGGGAAAACATAGGAAAAATACAAAGCAAAAAAACACACAACAATCATCTTCATCATGATTAACCCTTTCCCTCCCTCTTAAGTTCTAGTTTGCTGAAGGTCATCTTCGCTCTCTTTCTCTCGCGAAGAAAAGAGCCATGTTCAACTATTCCAAACTCTTTGGTGCAAAAAGAAAAGGAGAAAGAAAGAAAGAAAAAGAAAGAAAGAAAAAAAAAAAAATTCATAAATCCCATTAAAAGATTTGCTCATGAAAACAAAACAAGACTCCCTCAGTAAAATCCCACATCGTAGCAATAGAGCGCAACAGTGCACCAGATTTCCCCAACCAACCAAACAATCAGTCCCGTAAACCTATCGCCCCCATTTGCCGTCCACTTCTCATGGCAGCAACGGGTGGAGGGGGAAAAAAAAGAAGAGAAAAGAAAAGGACAAAACAGAACCAACGAAGGCCTTCTCTGCTGTCCGGGGAAAGTTGTTGAAGCAGATAGCCCAAACTGGCCTGTAAATAAACGCTGGGACCGGTATGCCAAGTACAAATCGAATGTATGTTCATGAGGTGGGTAACTTAAAGGGATTTGAAAGGTGAGACAATCACACGTCAAGCAAAATAAAATAAAATAATCTATAAATGCTTATATGATAATGCGAGGAAGAAAAAACATAAGCTTCAAGAGAATAGCGTAGCGAAATTGAAGAACTATACAAGCTCTCCTTTTCCCACATATCCACCATCCGGTTCTTATATAAAAAGCTACCTTCCATGTGTTTAATGAATGTAATGAAGAACCAAAAAAAATCCGCCGGTTTCTTTATCTCCTCCCGTGGTCTTAAAGTCTCCTTGCAAGACAGATCAGAGCAGGTAAAAGCTGGGGATTCGCTGCCAAAGACTTCAGTATCATACACGGGTTGTTTGCAAATATAGGTTAGATGTTGGATTGAGCGAAGTTTGAAGAACGGCCTAACTATAAGGGACGATTCGGGAGGTATTTCTATGGGTAGCTTGCATTGAGCGCTGAATTCGAATAAGAAGAACACAGTACTGTGGCAAAGTAGCGGCGGCGTTGTATTATTAGCAAGTGGGAATTTTCGCCTTAACCGATTAATCGAGGTTGAGATGTGTGGTATATTGGGGGTTAGGTAATTAGGAAGTCCGCGGGCCGAATATGATCCAACGGACAAACTGCAACTTCGCCAACATGATGTTTAGATCTCAAATCGACGGAACAGGTGTTGCATAGTGAAGAGAAAAAGAGAAGAAGAAGAAGAAGAAGAAGAAGAAGAAGAAGGTATCCAACGTCATTAAAGTTAAATATGTCTTTCGAAAAGAATTCGCTCAAAACTGCAAAAAGGGGCTCCAGAATATGCCGTGAGTCATTATAAAAGAAATCCCGCTATTACTTCAAATGCTGTTTATCAGCAAGGGTACGCTGCCGAGTCTAGGTTGCTTCTTCGGAAAAGGGGATGATAATAGAAGGTGGCTTTTATATTAGCGACCTGCTTCGAGATCGGAGTTGGCGCCTAACGTCTCCCCATCCCAGAGGGATTGAGCTTCGTCCACGGGGCTAAGCGAACCAGATGATATGGAGGAAGAAGATCCCATTGCCCATTCGTCGTTATCGTGATGTATATCAGCATTCAGGTTTGCCAAGTCATAGCCGTGTGTACTTGGCGATTCCCCGACCTCCACATAATCGTAGTCCCACCTGAATGACTTGTCATTCTGAACTTGTGGGATGAATCTTGACTTCGCGAAATAGAAAGAGACGGCCGCTAGGAGGCCACCACCTATCAGATCCACTGCGTAATGATGCGAAAGGTACATCGTGGACCACCACAGCCAGGCGGTGTACATGATAAATGCTGGTCGAAGTTTGGGGAATATAAGGCTCAAAAATAACGATTCGAGAGTTGCGTTTCCAGCATGTAGGGATGGAAAGGCGCCAAACGGTACCGGTGATGCCTTGAAACCGGACGTGTATAGATCTATGCCGAAAATTTCATCGATTCGGGCCAGTCCACCGGGAGATCCGGGAATTCCGTAGTGGGCGGGGGCTAAGCCATAGAGATTCTCGTACCATGGGGGAGAACACGGAAACAAAAATTGTATAGTGACTGCAGTAATACACATGAATCCAAAGGTTCGAGCGAATATTGGAGTCATCCCAGGGGGTCCGAAGATAAATATAATTATGGCGCATAGCGCAGGGGAGGCGTAATGCATGATTCCGTACGGAAACCAGGCCAAAATATCTAGAAAGGTACTCTGGCGAGCGGAGAGAATATTACTCAAATTGGCACCGTAAAAGATGTTTTCTAGCGCTGGAAGGACCCGCACCCATATTGGGGGCCGCCAGTCGCTGGGAATAAATCTGTTGGGGGTAGAGCAACCGCATTAGTAACACACACACACACACACATCGATTCCACAGTGCAAGGAACATTTTTTCGAACCCCGTCGCAAACCCAAACCAGCATGCCATGGGGGTAAAAGAAAAATTTATATAACTGAGGGAGAAACATACTGGCAAGCGTAGAAATATATGAGCCATGCAGCAATAGGGAGGAAGGGCAGGAAGAATTGACAGGTGACCGGGAAAATTAAGGAGGTTATCAAGGCAAAGGAGACTAAGGTCTTGAGAAAAGGGCCTGGCGACTCCATGACGCAAAGAGAAAAGATGCCCAAAAAGAGGAGCAACAAGTACTGTCCGTCATATATGGTCCACTGATGAGCTTGTAGGGTCTTTAGGGTGTCCAGGGGGGAGGCCGAGGTGTTCAGGGACGTTATTGCAGAGGTGGCGGAGACGCGACTTCGTAGCTTTGACCGTAGTTTCCGGCGCACGCGATGTGGAAGAAGCATTTGTAAAGATCGCCATGGTAATACTATCTGAACTTTTCCGAGATAATTTTGCGAATTGTCCTTCCATGAGGCCATTGCAGGGTTCATCACACCAGCCATATTTTACTGAGAGCCGCCTGGACCAGTCCCAAGAACAATTACAGGTTGGAACGGATGAGGGACCAGAACAGGCTCACAGCCAGTGAAGGCAACGAGCAGGGAAAATCTGTGGCGTTTGTGGACGATGCAGACAGCACAGGACGTAGGGGAAGGATTTTCAACAGCTGGTTGGACGAGAAGCACCTGCGACCCGAAAAGCGAAGAAGGAAACAGGTGAGGGAAGCTAAGATCAGGATGGTACCGAGCAACAGACGTCAGTAATGGAAGAGATGCTCAGCACAAGGGCGACAGAAAGAGAGAGAGAGAGAGAGAGAGAGAGAGAGAGATAGATAGAGAGAGAGAGAGAGAGAGAGAGAGAAGGGAGAGGGAAAGGGAGGGAGAGAATAGCAAGGAGGAGAAAATGGGTGGCTAAGGTTAAAAAGGAAGATGAAGCTGAGGAAACGAGAGAAAAGCAGCGGAGGCTTGGATGAAGGTATTGTGGTATTTTTGAGAGTATTGGCATGGGTAAGCTTGGGGCCGTGTGGATCGCGGCTGCTGATTGGTTTAAAGTGTAATATTACAGTACGATACGGTAAAGTTAATTACTGCGGGAAAATCGGATTGTACTAAACGTATTTATCAGCATGAAATATTACAATACTACGTGGTATCATACATAACCATACCGGCCGCGGATGAATGGCGGAAACATCGGGGTTCAGGGGTTTGTCGTATTGTGCTTGTTCTCTATCGTATTGTATTAACTAACGTCCATCTTAGCAGACACATTAATACATGGAAATAAAAAGTGAATGAATAATGTGCCCGTGATATCGATATCACGCCTAGACTCAGTCGCTTTACTTTGAACGGCTGAAGTATGTTGATTTCTTTATGAAAGATGAAATGTTTCAAGCTATCTACACTGCTCATTGTCGATGCTGAGAAAGAATCCAAAGAAGTGTTTAATGAAGCTTATGAGAAAATGATTGATTCCGCTTTTACTAATTACACCAATATCCTGTCCGCATAATTATATATGCCGCTATGCAAAGGAGGAGTGGCTTACAGAAAAGGACAGTCCAAGTCTCATCAGAAATGTGACGGTAGGGGGTGACGACTTCGGTGGCTCGTTGTTTGAACGCTGTAGTTTATCCAACCCTTTCAGCAGCCTATTCTTAGAGTTGGCGGACCCCCTTCCAATCCTATATGCCCGCACCAAGATCCTCAGCCCTTGTATACAACAGACGGGGTCAACAAGCTCTAATGCCTCATGGGAGAGAACAACGGTAAATCCACAAGTTCCTAACCTTGGCACGTCAGTTTCGTTTCATAGGAGACTCGAGAGAGACTCGAGAGAGACTCGAGAGAGACTCGAGAGAGACTCGAGAGAGACTCGAGAGAGACTCGAGTTTCAATGCTCAGTCGACCAGAGCGATTCCCAGCAGCATGGACATCCAGGTCGGTTAGTTCCTAGGGTGCAAGCAGACAACAAAAGGTGTCCATGCTCGAGCTGGCTAGCAATCAGTGCGTTTTGCCAATAAGGGCCCCAGCTCGCGGCGGGACAGGGATCTCGTTTCGCTCTCTCTGGCTTGGCGGGCAGCTTCCTGTCGACTTTCGCGCTTGCTTTTTGCTCGTCGAATGATCCTGTGATAAGAGTTAAATGAGGCGCTTGGCACTATTGTGGCTTTTCGGATTACGGGTATTTTGATTACGGAGAACTAGATGGGGCTTCGGCGTTCATAAAATTATTCATAAAAGTTTCTGGCTCCTGGGCATATTTCTGGAGCATATTTATGCATGTGGAGACGGCAACATACATTTTGTAAATATTGGAAATGGTTGCCGGTTCCCGAACGGAGGTTATGTTTTTTTCTGGGTTGACATATTTTCTTCCTCGTGCCGGTGTTCTTTTTTTTTTTTTTTTTTTTTTTTTTGTTCCTGCTGAAGTGACAGAGAATTTTTGGAGAGCAATTTGAAAAGGCTGGGGGCGACAAAAGGAACCAATGAATCTGCTTGACAAACAACGGACACAAAACTACGAAAACCTTAATGCGAATAACGTTCGAATATCCCATTGGGATGGGGGGGTGGCTTTCAGCAGTTCTTCAAACCCGTGCTCCATTGGACTCATATTTAAGTTCCCCGATTCTACTGCTCCGGTGGTGCAGGTCAGATTTTCAAGGACGGATCTCAGATGTCAAACAAAATGTATCCTGCTTGCTGAAGAGTCTCATAGCATTGAGAGATCCCGCTACACTACAGACCCCTTTATTAACTTTGCCCTCGACCATTTCGCGACTTAGATCCCTTTATTCACACAGATGGCCCTTCCCAATCGACCACAACAGGTCAAAGAGCTCGAAGCCGTTCCAATATCGTGTCGGGTGGATGCTTCGAATCAACTTCGCTAAAACGCCCGCTATCCCGTTAAGAATTTCGCTTTGATTTCGATTCGTGGTTACCAATGCCCCTTGAAGCATTGGTTGGGGTTGTGGGAATATCTTCCACTATCGATGATTCAGGTGTATTCGCATCCATCACATCCAGTGTCTTCAATTATTAATATGTTGTTTGCAAGCTCCATACGATCCTCTCTCGCAAAATGTGAAATCACACCTCCCCCACTCCGGAACTGCCCAGCGCAATTTCCTGGAGCGAAATTCCCAGATCAAGATGCTGGACGCCGCTTGAAACATGATCATCGTGGCCTCGACGTATATCTCGATATCCTGTGTTGCTCTGGGCTTCGGATGCTAACCCAGCGTAAAAGTTGACTAGCAAATGAGTTCATGACAGAACGGTTTGTTTTAGCCGGTTGGGGTTTAGGTGCATCTTCTTATGCGCCGTCTCGAGCAACAGGGCAAGTGGGAAGCACCCATCTCGCTCGCTTTCATTGGGATGAGCAGTGAAAGATTCCAACGGCAAATTCATGTGGAAGAGAGAGCAGGCTTAAGATCAACAGAAGAAGGGCGGATAGTAGTCGACTTTCAAGGGCTTTTGCTGTGGTCATTCTCGACTCCCTCTGAGAGGAATATACCGCGAAACAACTATAATGGGGCTTTGATGTCAATGAAATAATGGTTTGCCTTACTTAACAGCTTTTCTGCAGGTCAGCGAACTCTGAAGATATGGGTTTACTATGGTAATTTTGTTTTGACTTTGATGGCAGCGGCAAGCGAGAAACATGTTTGCAAGCGGGTTTCAACTTTTGTTTACATATCTGAACATTCCCCGTGGTATTGAATAAAGGACTGGTAAACCTACCGAGCTTCAAAAACCCAGCTTACGTGTGACTGCGCCTTCGGTAGGCTTTGCAATGACGTCATCTCCTCAAGAATGGGATTCGATATAACAGCGACAGCAGAATCGAAAACAACAGATTCTTTATGCCTGTCTTCCTTCTGCAGAGATACTTTGTACTGTCATGTCCTGTACAATCATATATACATACATGCGTACATCTTAACACTGATGAAAAGGCTTCTGCAATGCATCCAACACCCTGGAAACTCAGCCACGCTACACGAACTCATGGCGTTACAAACTTCCAACAAAGGGCCATTATCTCGGTCCAACTTCCGACGATCCGACCCAACACAATGCAACCCATGTCTAAATAGTATGTACGGCACATGGTACGTAACTCCATACGGCCAATGAAGTTTTGCTCAGAGAGGGGGGTCTCCATCCATTCCACCTATCCCAATCCTCCCGGTAGTGTACTCATCCGCGCCTTTACCTACCCAACTTACTACAATCATCACGTGTAGGCAGCGACAATCCGCTTGATGCGGTAGACACGTCAAACAAACCCAAAAACCATGCTAAGACATCATCCACCAGTAAATTCCGCACCTTGATTGGGCAACGACTCGATTATTCCACAAAGAGCTTAAAATAACCCACAGGGATGTTATCTCCGCAGCTGCCGGCTCTGTAACTGACCGACTTACACTCTCAAGCATACCTTGATTTTGATTTTGATTTTTGAATTTTTGAATTTTTTTTTAAAAAAAAGGGGATAGACTAGATTTCCTCAGCAGGTCAAGATGTTCAAGTGTCCGTATGGCTGGATTTATTTTTGTACACCCATGCAAATGAACAAGGCAACCCGCAAAACCAGCACAGACCATCCTCACCATCCTACGCGGTTGAGAGGGTGGGATAAACCCCCATCCTGAAACACCAGCGGACTGTAATATCCGAGAAAAACCCATTCCTTCTCCCCTTGTATGGAAATATTTCTCAAATATAGATCAAGAGCGGCAAAATTAATAATAGGAAGATTACATATCATTTTCACGATCGTCACGCGGTCTATGTTTATGCGCTCTGTGATGAATTAGCTGTTTCTTTTTTCATGGCTGAAGCGGGATCTACTTTATAGTGGAGCTCTCGAGCATCATTGCGGGGTAGTAGCAGCGCGCCTCCAAAACGCTACCAGTCTCCAGTCTCTCTCGTTTCTACTCACACTTCACTCATACATCGTACAAACATACAAGTATGTAAAACAAAATACGTGTCGTGCAAATTACGAAGACCGGTAGCCCCAGGAGTTCGATATTGACTGGGTAGACATTTTGCCGTCTCACTTGGACAGAGATAATATTTCGCCTCGCTTGCTGGCGTCGAGATTTCAATCAGCCACAGTCAAGCCATGATGTGCTCACACATTAGACAAAAATCAACGAAGCTGGTAATTCGGTTCCAGCTGACGAGGACAGACTGGAGTCTAGTTGGTATAATCAATATATTTTAAGGATGTGGGTAGATGGCTCAAGTCTGTCGCTATGGGATACGTTTTGACTACATCCTAACATATCTGAAGCAAGGACAAAATTCTTCCAATATCTCCATCAGAAACATAACGGATCAACGGAATATCTATTGACGATCTACATATGATGTCTGTGATGGATCTTCCCCTCAATTCACTGATGAAACTTCTGGAATCCTGCATTGTATGAGATGACCCCATCACGTTTGGCGTTTCTTTTCCCTAAAATAATACAGAAGCTCGGCTCCATTTTAACCAGGGGAGAGATATGCCCGGAATGCAATGCAGTTTCCCTTGGTGCTCTCCGTCAGTCATGAGGGACTTTTATAATTTCTACCAAGGAAATTTCAGGATGTCAATTCTCCATAAACTCCGGACACTCCGCACATAGCTTTTCTCAAGCAATATTGTCTCCCGGTCCGTTGCGTGATGTCATCGCAGATGGCTCGCTGTTTCTTGCTCATATGCACGATCCATGGCTATGAGAGAGTGTGGGTGGGAATAGCTCCCGTTCTCGGAAGACTGGGTGGAGAGGCTCTCAAGCAAAAGGCAGCAGGAAATCGTTCAAAGCCCAAATAAAGCGAGCTGATCATGAGAAAACCTGGGGATATTAGCAGTAGCTATGCCCCAAGTTAGGGGGGTATAGACTATGGGAAGAAGTTAAAATATTCCTGTGCAGTTCTTTTGACGTCTTTGTTTGGTGCACTGATGAGAGTGAGACTGGCAAGCAATGCCAATGAGAGTAGGGCGATTTATGTTGTCTTCCAGGAAAAATGTTAAAAGGGGCTGTCAGATATGTCTTGTATATAAAAGAAACTGTGCGTATCGGCCGCCAGATCTCAGCAGAACTCTCATATACATGGTGTGTATAGAACATCCATACAAATCATCCACGAAATGAATGTGCAAGATAAAAGTGAAAGGGTATGTATGTATGAAAAAGAAGAAAAGAAACCATGCAATCACCCCGTGTCATATCGCCAACGTATGTATATATATCAGTACGCATATACTCACATAGCATCATCACTCCATTACCTTCAAAACCAATTACATTCAAACCGGCCAGGACATCTAGGAGCAATAAGATTGGATCATCGCAACCCCAATAACCTCCACAGCAATCTTGATCCGATCATAAGGCGTCTTCTTCTTCTTCTTCTTCTTCTTCTTCTTATGACTCATCTGCGATTTCGCTCATGAGCTTAAAGGCCATTTCTAGATCTTCGGGCCTTAGTTGCTTGCAGTCGTCCATGTCAATGCCGCCATGGGCCATCAATGTCGAAGACGAAAGGGGAGTTGCGGACTGGCGTTACGCCCGTCGTCGCCGCGTCTGGCAACATTTTTGTTTTGAGCCGAGATTATTGCTGCTGTAGTTGGGAAACGTGTTACACATGGTGGTGGTGGCGCTCACCCCTGAGAACAGGTGGGTCGCCGTGAGGGTGAGGCAGGGGAGGAAGTGAGGCCGCGTCTTGGATAAGTGGCTTCCATCCCAGGGTCTGAATTTGGAGGAGTTGGAATGGAGGGGGAGAGAGATGTGAGGAGGAGTTTGTTGGAGAGGTGTATGCTCATTTCCGGCGAGAAGTGCTCGCTTTTTGCTCAGCTAGGTACCTTCGTTTGCAGCTGTTACTGCTGCGGCTGCTGGTTCTGATGAAAGGATGCAGATTTCAAGGGAGGGAGAAGCATCCGTATATAACTTATCATCTCGACAACTCGCGAATGTGAATCACCATATGCTCTCCTTCCTTCGACCCTCATATTGTGATATCCATACTATTCGAGGTATTATGCCATTATCATGATATGATCATCATGAGGCGAAGGAACTCCATCACGTATTCTGATACTGCATCGAGCCCGTCCCCATCCCACCACAGCGAACGACACTCGTATTTCTCATTTCCAAAATCTTGGCTAGCTAACGGTTTTCCTCCAAGTTTAGATGCGATGCTCCTAGCAATTTTGTTCCTGCTTTCCAATGAAGCTTGAAACTTGAAACCAGAGGGCCGTTGTGTCAGGGCATGTTGCTTCAGGAAAAGGATCGTTTATAAGATTGATTGACTCGCCGCATTTGGCAAAAGTTCGACGTGCATGCTTGAATCATGGATTTTCACGAAACTTCGATGTGACAATGAATAGACATATCGGGGGAGACGGGCTCCAACTGGTCAGCCTCTCTAAGCCCCGCGTTTAAACGGCCATTGTCAGGAGACGTTCTGTATTCCCGAGGTCTTGCTGCTTGTTTCAAGGTTTTGGGATTGTAGGTTGGCACTGGCATCTACAGTTTGAGACTGTAGCCAAATAGCAAGAATATTGATTGAATATTATATTTGCATGGCCACATGCATAACTAGTTGCAGTTTGGCAATCTCCTGTATGAAAATATATAGTTGTATCTATTCTATCCCCACCTCTAGCACACCTAGCAAACTCAACATCAAATTTCTCGAAGAAAGCAGCCCTGCAACAACTAACCCCTAGAGGAAGCATATATCCTTCATCTATGGAACTAAACAGAGGTTGGGTTCACAAATCATAACTCCCCGTCCCTGCATCCCAAATTCCTTATCACTATTTCAGCAAAACCACCCAAGCCCTGAAATGGATGGGCGTTGCGGCAAGAAATGCGACAAACTTACACTTAAAAGCAGTCAAATGCCACATCAATCATCAAAATTATATATATATGTATCAATAACTGCCCCAAAACAAACTGGTATAAGAGGAGAGAGTGAAGCAAGCACCTACATACATACATCCATACCTAAAGATTTCCTCTTTAATTATTAATGGCAACAGCTGTCGTTTTCCTTTCGTCTTCTTCCCCACCTCTTTCAAGGATCGCGTCTAACCCTCCGTATACCCAAGCAAGAAACGAAGTGAGGTCCCGCCCGTTCCGCTAAGCAAGACTTGGGGGGAAGAGAGAGACCTGGGAAAGAAACCTTCACTGTCCTCAACTAAATAGAAATTCTTCCGCCGAGAGAAAAGAAAAGAAAAAGAAAAGAAAAAAAAAACCCTGTCATAAATCATAACAAAGACACAAGGGGGAAAAAAAATATATAGCTTTATAATTATTTTTACTCTTGATTTTAATGTTTCATCATGTATCATGAAACTCCTCTCCTCAGATCTTCTCCCGATTCCCCGCATACCCAACATTATCGCCCTTATCATTCCCATTCACACTCCCGCTCTTCTTCTCATCACCACTAAGAACGGAAGTCAATGACACCCTCGCCTTTCCTTCTCCATGTGCCTGGGCCTGAGCCTGAGCCTGAGCCTGAGCCTGAGCCTGAGCCTCAACGTCCCCTCGGTTATCTCCAGCCTCAAAAACCCCAGCAATCTTCGCCACCTCAAACTTCCTCCCCCTCTTCTCCGGCCCAAACATAGTCGTAACCACAATCCCCATTACAATAATAGCAGTCGCAACCCCCATCGTCGGCCCATATGCCGGCTCCGGCTTCCCTCTGGACCCCCGCACAGTGATAGATTCGGCAACGACATTAACAATCTGCGCTGACGGTGACGAAATCATATTTCCAATCTGATACGTGACGCCCGGGAAGCTGGAGCGGAAGGCCGGCGGGGATAACTCGTTGAGATGGATGGGGATAACACCCCACGCGCCCTGGACGAAGAATTGCATGAAGAAGCCCGTCACGGACAGCCTCCGTTCACCCTCCGGGAGGATCCAAGCTGCGATTAGAATGCCGCTCATGAGCGCGGAAGCGATTATGGAGCGCCGTCGGCCGACGAATTGAGAGAGGTAGCCGACTACAGTGCCGCCAACGCACGCGCCGGCTTTCATGAGGATGCTTGCCCGACTGGCTTGGGAGTTATTCAGCCCTTTCTGCGTGAGCATGAAGGTTGTAAAGCTATCCTGTGAGGTGTGGCTGTAGTAGTTGAACCAGGTCATGAGGATGATGCTGTAGACGACCATGCGCCATTCATTGACGAGCATCATCCGCGTCTCGTGCCAGAACGCCCCGGGCGGCTTGCTGTGTTTGCCAGCTTTTTTGGCTTCGCGGAATTGTTTGGATTCCGGGAGGAAGATGCGAATTACACCTGCGAGAATGGAGAGGCCTGCCGCGATCCAGAAGACAGTTTTCCAGGAATCCGTTGAGCCTCCGACGCCTAGATTTGCGCAGGCTGCGAAGACATAGCCCATCGAATAGCCTTGCTGGAGAACGCCGGACATCAGCCCGCGGGCGTTAACTGGGCAGTTTTCCAGGGCCATAGCGATGGCGTTCCCATAAACACCACCCATGAAGAGGCCGAAGAGACTGCGCACGGCGAGGAACTGCTGGAACGTGGCGCTGTAGATGGTTGCAATCTGCAAGAAGCCCAGGACAAGCATGTTGACGACCATGGGCCACTTGCGGCCCCACTTGTCACCCGCAAGCCCGAAGAAGGCAGCGCCGACCGATCGAAGCAGGAGGGTAAGGGTGATGGCTGTGGAGATTGATGTTTTGGATTGTCCGTAGTACTTGGACAGCTTGACGGTTTGAATGGAGAGGGCGTGGAAGTCGAAGGCGTCTGCAATCCAGGCGAAGAGACCGACGGCGAAGTAGAGCCAGTCTCGGCCGGTGAGCTGGGCACAGAGGCTGAAGGGGTTTTTCAGGGCGGGGGGGTTCTGCCATTCGCAGTAGGATTCGCCGGAGGAGTTGATTACTTCTACGCGCATTCTCCAGTGGAAGAGGTCTGTCCAGGCCTGTTTGGCGGAGGGGATGATGCCCCTGGCGACAGGGTCGGCGGGCTGGTTGCCGGACATGGTGGTGGACCCTCGAAAGGAAGAAGAGCTTGGGAGATTATGGAAGGCTGGCTACCAACAACCCCGTGTGGCCAACGAGGTGAAGACGATACGGGGCGAGGGTCCCTAGGTATCCAAAAACGAGGGATGTCGTGGGACTCGAGAGTGTGGAGGAAGTTCGTTTGTTCAAGGCGGAGAGTGAGTATGTATAGCTGGGTGTGCAGAACTCCAGACGAATGAATGGATACATGCGATACACGCGATACACGTGAGAAAACGGGGGTAACGTGACGGATAGCCAATCGGTGCGGAGAAGAAGTTGAGATGGAGAAGGGAGCGAAAGAATAAACGGAGGGAAAGAGAGACGCAGACTCGGGAGGGGTCCCTTCCGAATGGGGGCCGGTGAAGAATGATGTAAATATTGAATTCCTCGGGGAAGCTACATATGAGGAGCGGGGCAGCGGGGTTGCCAAATAAGGTTACCACAATCTGGGGTTCTCCAGTCAAATCCAGCGCCTGCAAGATGAAACAGTGCAGAACCACGGGTCGACAGGGCAGGGGAAGAGGTCAAAAATGGAGTCTGGGGATAACAGTCAACACACACACGTGATCGACGACGGAGAGAAAAACAAAGATATGATGATGATGATGATGATGATGCTCCAATATAAAACTACTGCTGTAGATTATGGACTCTTTTCACCCTCGATTCATATCCCGTATTACTGACAGAGCCGTGAATCAGTTCTGTCAGTTGCTCGTCCGCCTGACGTCTCAAGCTGGGTAATAATCAACAATCTTACAGGTACATTATCATGGACGCAATATCTCTGTTTTGTCGGCGCAACACTGCTGCAACAGGGAAAACCAAGCTCCCAGCCAGAGAACAAGGTTTACCGCTGGACTGCTGCAGTGTTGAAGTCCAGTCCCCACCCAACGGAACCCCAGATTCCTCGCTGCGGGACCGGATCTTGGCGGGGCCTACCTCTCGAGAAATCCCTGCCCCTTGGGCGAAAGAAGGTGCCCATCATTGGCTGCTTTGCCCAGGGACACAGGGATACCCCATCGACGTTTGCGGTGGAGTCGATCCCTCCCGTCCTTGGGCAATTCTTGTTTTTTTCTTGGCTGGCGCCGCGCACGCAGCCAGCCAGCCAGGACGCTTTTTCAGGGTTAGGGAGGCTGTATGTAAGTTTTCGTTCTTCTGGAAGTACGGAGTAAGATACCTGGACGGAAAAAGGAAGGGAATGGAAACAAATGGAACCTGGGACCAAGGACACGGGACTTTTCACGATCCTTCGTTACCCACTGCTTTCCCTTCTTTCCCTTCTTCTTCTTCTTCTTCTTCCTCTCTGGAACCGATGGTGGACCATGTATGAAAAATTCTTGGAGTCGAGGAGTCCATGTTTGAACCCAAAATATAGAGATTATTGAAATTTACATGTCCATGTTTGTGTGTTCCCTGCACCTGGAAGCTCTCACGCTCTCACATCCCAACGCCCGGTCGGGAGATGTTGGCCACGAGAGCATTCAGAGAGTCTCCCTCAACCAAACTTATCTATGTAAACCTAATTTGCCAGTGCGACTGTCTCCGAGCCAAATAAAAAAGACCCCGCGAACTGTCGAGATATATCGAGAACAGAGAGCTCATGCTATGGGGTAGCTAACTTCTTCCAGAGATGCCCTCTCCATTTCCGCAACCTACATGGGAACCCTCTTTATTACCCCCCATAAAAGCTACAACTACATACCCGCCAATTTATTCCTCCAACCCAATTCCCCCCTCAGATGTCTCGGGAACCTCTATCGATCGTGATACATATTCACCGTGATTTTACAATTGATGGCTTGTGCTTGGCAGATGGGGTGCAAATGATCTGGGCGGGATTCGGGGGCAGGGGAATAGATAAATAGGATCAGAAGCACAATTTCCTTCCGATGTTTGGTTTCAAATTCATCACCTTTCATTCATCTTCACGCGTGCAAGGATGGCATGCGTTTGTAGCATACCTTTGACTACGTTTCTGCCCCACCCTATCTCTCTCTTTCCGAAATTGCTCAATATCACAAATCATCAAGTCAAATCACAGCTCTCCTGTTGACAAGCCTCCAACTATCCTACAGTCGCTGAACCTGGTCAAACGGATGTAAAATGAAATGGAGACAATAATGCAGAGAGCATCCACGCTCATCATATCCCTAGGGCCTTTTTTTTTCTTTTCTTTTTTTTTCCTTTTTTCTTTGGAAAAACCTAAGCTTAAGCATTTTGGGAACCCACTGACTGGGATTCAAAGGGCAGTGCATGGAAATCATAGCTGATAATGACATCTTTCAGTTTCATAAAGTTTCACAATTTCATAAAGCATATACTATTTCATGTATACTATCAAAATAGGTGCAATTCTATACAATGGGGTGGGTATCTTGTACTCAGAGTTTTCAGGAAACATGTTGGAATTGAATGCTTTTGGTGAAGGTGAAAGCAGAAGCAAAAGTGAAAGTGAAAGTGAAAGTGACAACAAAAAGGCATGAATGGAAAATAAAGACAGTGCATCCACGGTCAAAACTGTCTAGGCATCCTGTCCCTGACTGCAATGACGTGTAGATGTGCCGTTAACAAAAAGTTAGCATGAGTTTGCTACAACAATAACGACTAACAACAACAATGGCAGAAGGATATAGAGTGATGCCCCATGGCTATCGCGACTATCGCGATGAGGGTGTGCGAGGAAGAGGTGGAACATACATTCTTTGATAATTCAATGAGAAGAAAAAGAAAAGGAAAATATATATATATATATATAAAAGAAAGTACTTACATATAAATGAAAGGCCCCAATTTCCCTCCAAATAGGTGGGTAGCTTTACTTCCCGTTCCCGCTGTTGTTGTTGTTGTTGCTGAATCCATTGTTCCACCACCTTCGCTTGTATGCGGGGAATGTGCTGTGATTCCAGATGTTGACCAGGACACTATTGATATGGCGAGAAGAGATTTGTTAAAAATAGTGGCCAAAATATATTCTCAAGGGATATACCTCGTTGAGAGTAGAGATTTGTAAATGTGAATTGTGAATTGGGGTAACTTAACGTGACTTGCATTTCAGGAGCAATAAACAAACGAGCGGAGGAGGAAGGAAAAAAACCAAACCCTTGTTGACAGGATCATAAAGATAAAGAGAGAAAAAAAAGAGAAAGCAAACCCATACATACCTCTGACTGATATCCTTGTACTTCTCATCATTCAACTCCTTGATACCAACCTTCAACCCGTCCCGTGACATCATCACGTTTTTCTTCTCCATTTCCTGCTTCGTCTGCATCTTGACGGCCATCATGATACTCCACGTCACGAAGAGGATGACTGCCAGAAAGGCGACGACGATGAATAGGATTAAGAGGGGGATTAGTCGGTTTGATGGCATGTTTTTTTTTTTTTTATTTATTGATTTTCTTTCTTCCTTTCTTTCTTGGGTTTAGTTTTTTTATGCTTGGCTGAGGTTGTTGGATTGTCTGTCGGTTTGACAGGCAAAAGTGGGTTTATTTGATCGGCGCGTTTCGTGCGGAGGTATAGCCCGGCAGATGTTTACTTGTTGGGGGAAATGGTAGAACAGGAATGAGGAAAATAACTGAGATTTACTGATTGACGGTGTGGGTCCGGCGGGGTTATTTCTATAGGGCTGGGTTCGACGGAGAGGAAGGGGATAAAGCTCTATATAGGGGAAAGTCGATATAAAGCCGAGAGTGTATGGATAAAGAGGGCCAACCCATGGATATGAAGGTTAAACGAGAGAAGTGGATGGGTTCCTGGTGTGAGTGAGAAGGGAAGCAGAGCAATCATGTGAGATCTTCATGCAAAGCCCTTGGGAGGAAGCAAGGAACGGCAATTGCACACGGGCTATTCAGGTTATATTTACGGCTTTATCCATGGCTGGCGCTAGTCACAGGTTTCAAGTTGCCTGCTCATCGGAGAGGAAAAAAGGAGGTCATGGCAGGTGGTGAATGAGAGAACGGGTGAGTGAGCATGAGTCCCAAGGCGGCGTCGCCGGGGCTAGCCATGTGCATGTTTTTAAGCCCGCTTGCAAAACTAACTAATACGATCAATGCTAACTAGTTCCTGGGCTTTTGCAAAAGTTGGGCAGGAAGGATTATTTGAAAGGGGGAAAAGACGTCCAATTTACAGGCTTTCTAGAAGCAAACGTCAACAGCAAACCTATTGCTGTAAGAGCCCGTTATGATTGGTTTGGATAAGCCTTATTTGTCAAGGCCTGTGCAGCCAAGTGCGCAGTTAGTGATTCCCTGAAACGTCACCGCTGTGGCTTTGTCACTTGGTGTTGAGCCACATATGTCAGAACCTTGATCATGTTAAATAGTTAACTAGTTACAGTAACCGTTAGTTAACTAAGTTAACAAAAGATTGCTTGGTAAAGCTTGGTATCACCCCAGCCACATCCTTGCGACATGCCAGGTCAAGTGTTTAATGAGAGATTTTTGTATTGGTATTCTGACGCCTGATATCCGGGGGTTAGCCATCCAGCCGCGGTCAATCCTCAGCCTATTTTATCAAGATGGATGACTGATGACTTCTGATAGTTGACCAGTGGGAACCTGTCCCACTCACAGGTTTTGCTGGTGGGTTGCAGCTGAGCTGGTAGTAAAAATAGCATTGAAACCCTGAAATATGACAATGCTGAGCAGTGAGAAACCTGTTCTATCCACGTGATAAGTTACATGTTTATATCTCAAATGGTTGTATCCTTTATGTTAGGGCTCCTTTTCGCTCCAGATGACACGGAGAAAATCTTTTGCACGGGACACTGAATCACCACATTCCAGAGACCTCCGGAGCATTGGCTGCCAAATATCCAACTTCGACGCTTCTGTATAGAAAAAGCATCGATATCAGATCGTTGTCGAGGGAAGTATTTGAAATTTACTCGGAATCCGAAGCTTAAGGAGCAGCTATTGGCTTCTGGAAGCAGGGGACTTGTAGAAGCCAGTCCAAGAGATCGGATATGGAGTGTTGGATTTGGAGCGAAGAATGCGGGGAATTTGGGGAAGGATTGGGCGTTAAATTTGCTGGAAAAGGCGTTGATGGAGAGGAGAAACCAACGTAAGGATTATTTATATTCATGTGTGGTATATCTGAGAAACTTTTGCCGCTATTTACAGTTAACTGTTGACAGGTGGTTTTTTGGATTTGCTTTCGCCATGCCTGGTGAGGCCTCTAGGAACCCGATTATGTAGGAATTTATAAAAAGGGCGGGATTGAATAACTAACTATATACAATTAGGTCTTCCTGAGCATTCGAAATGCTCTTATTTCATCCAACTACGATACAACATTCCTCTCGACCAATCAGACTTTAGAAATTCCAACCTCAACTTCCATTTATCATATCTTAGAGACATCCCTCAGCAAGTTCACTCTAACAAATTCAACCCCCAACATAGGATGAAGGGAGTTCAAATCAAGCTCTTGCACGAAAGTTAATTCTGGTTAAGCTTTCAAGCTTCGCCCTTCGCGTTTCAACTCTTGTCATCACTGCCTCAACATCCCTCAAGAAGGGATGAAGATATGCCGAGATACTTCGCCATATCGGTAGTCCTTACTTACTGGACATTCAATGAAGTATTTGACAGGTTCACTGGCACAATGGCAACTTTTGAAGAATAAGATTGGCGCACCTGCTGCCATGCGATATACTGTTCAATCCTCCCTTATGAACCAGGTATCGAACCCTTCACGATGTCTTTTCCCTGGATTTCCGATCCCGATCTGCTTTCAATGCGGAACGACGCAAAATCCATGTCGTTGCAAAGTGGTTGGCCCTACTTTAGGTATGCCTGGCGCAAAAAAATATCGCCATGAAAGACCAAAAGAAGTTCAAATGACTAACTCGGCCCTCTTCTATCAACGCTGTATAGGATTCCTAACGAGTGTTGCTGCTGCTGTGCGCAATATCCCTCACTCAACTCCCCACCTTGTTGATTTACCTCTTGAAGGGAGTCGCGGTTAATTTCGCGCAAGCCATGTGCCGAGATATATAACCTGAGTATTATGAAACAGGTCGTGTGTTGACCAGCATCTATCTTTTGCTGCTGCTGCTGGGCTACAAAGACGGGGACGGAGTGCTTGTTTTCCCTATCCTTAGTGCATCGTTTCCCCCCCCCCCCCCCACCTTTTACTGACTGCTCGATGAACAATTTGCAGGCTTCTCGGAGCCCCCGCTGAATTGAACCAGAAAATCAGCGAGGCCATACCGTTTTGACAACTGTGGTTTTTTATTTTTATTTTGTTTATGTGTCTTTATGCGATGAGGCGTTTTTTTTCCTAGTGGATAGCTATCGGTTTTCTCGAATGTCGCTGCAGCCCGTATCTTGGAGGCACTCTTTCTCTTCTCCTTTTCTTCCCATCCCACATATGTCTCTGGTGAGGACGGCGCGATTACGTATAGATGAGATTTTTTACACGGGGACCCATTCTTATTGGAATACCACCACCACAGGAAATTGGAGTCACAGACAGCTCGCTCTGGGAGTTTTGGCGCGACGTGCGTAGGCTTGCTCTTGCCAATGTCTTTCATGGTTTATCAGGTTTCCTTCTTTTCGTTTTCTACAGTGAGGAACTGCAAACTAATGGGCACCAAATCAGTGGTCCTTCAGATATGAAAGCTTGCAGCCAATTCGGTTCAGGAGCTGTATTAAGGGAACTCTTTCTACTTGATACGAGCGCAGATGTGGAAGTATAGTGCTGTAAAGTCCAACCGTTAATGTTTTTATCTATTTGTGATATTGTTCTTTCAAGATCTGAAGAAGAGAGAAATAAGATTGCAGACTTGTGTCTGCTCAATGACAATGTCAAATTCGCAGAATGTGTATAAAAGCACATAGCAACACACAACACAATGTAGTATTTGATGTTGTGAACATCTTTCAGATTCGAAATTGTCAGTCAATTTCAGTGATCTTTAATGAGAGAATCAGTCTCATGAAAAAAAAAAAAAAAGGTCACAGAAGACATTTCATCGTCTTCCTTCTTTAGTTGCTGTGTTACTATTCAAGCAATATTAGATATCTGTTGATATTTCAAATCCCCTTGTCTACTCTTCCTACTCTTCCTACTCTTCCTCTTTTCTCTTTATCTACTCTGAATTTCACAGAGTATTGGCCTCGACATCTCACTTACTTGAACCCCCTTCTTGGAATCAAACTCCTTCCCTCCACTATGGACGATGTCCCTGATGTCCCCGATATTCCAGAGGAGCTTGAAGACAAGGAAATTCTATTCTCTGGCGATTTCACCGCTGAAGAGCTTTCAGCTCGAGCCGAACTCTACGAAAAAATAAATGTCGCAGTCAACGGATATATGAACGTTCCGTTTGGCAGTTGGGACTGTCTTACCTTTCAATTACGCGAGATAAACTACAAAATCCGGTTGAACGAACTGGAATGTCGCGTCAGCGAAAGGATTTTCGCACCAGCGGAGGACAGTGTCGAGTTTGCCAGAAAAGTGAAGCATTATCGTGAGGAGCAGCTTGTCTATTTCGGAGAGCGGGATCGCCTTGGAAGAGAAATGTGGCACCTATTTCGAAACACCATCGGAGAGAAGCCGGATGCCAAACGCGCTGAAAATCGCCAGGCTAAATTTGCGGACCTAGTTTTGTCCTTGACGGAAGATATTACCCCGGAAGAACAACAGACCTTTGTGAATAACCTGGAAAACGCATACTGCCCTGAAGGCTCGCCGGAGGGCGAAGTTTGGTGCCCTATTGCGGTGGGCTGGATAAAAAAATCAGACGTGGGTGCAGCCCACATCTTCCCGACCATAGCTGGACAGGGAAACATGGTTCTTGTTTTCGCGGAGGGCCCTGATATTGATATCAACGGGGCCAAAAATGGACTTTTCTTACCCCCGCGTGTCAAGGAGGCGTTTGAGAAGTTCCAGATTGTCATCATACCGGAGGATGTTAGCGCCAATCCCCCAGAGTTCGAGTTCAGAGTCCTCGATACGTCTCTCCATTCTCAAATGGGGACTCAGGATATGACCTTCAACGAATTGAACCAAAGAAAACTCATATTCCAACCGGAAAATGCCTTTAGGCCGAGTATGCAGTATCTTCACTTTCATTTTGCTGTGGCTATGCTGCTCAGGTCGAGGAGGGGAGGGGCTTCTGACAAACTACCGGACTGGGTGACCTCTGGGCTCAGGGGCGTCTGGGAGGACCCAACTATTATTATATGCGAAGATCTGCTTCTGGGTTTTGTTCAGGCACTCGAGGCGTATTGGGAGGAATCTGAGAGGGACAGAGCAGAAAAACAGCGGCTTTTAGAAGACGATGCTGAGAACAAAATGTGATTTGAATGTTAAAGGCGTACAAAGCAAGATGGCAATGACCAATTTACTCGTTATCATATTTGTTTCGATTTTTTTTTTTTTTTTTTTTTTTTTTTTTGCCCTTTACAATTGTATCTTCAGTATTTGTCTCACTTTGACCTGTCATTGTACTGTTCACTATGCAAATAGAGGTGGACATAATACTTGCTTCCCAGGTTCAAAATATAGTTATCCATTCCAGCAATTCGTTTCTGTCCTTCTGGCGGAGGTGGTGATGAATTAACAATACTAGGAATATCTTCGCGTAGGATAGTTGGTGGTTGGAAACTATTTCGATGACCGCTTGGCTAATGGCGCATGGATTGTTAACAACCTTAGTTATAGGTGCCAATAGAAAACGAAAGTAGTCTATGGATGTAATTGGAACTGGGAAAACTTATAAAAACAGTTATCCCCTACAACCGGTGGATAGTAATTGCACTATATACAAATTGAACTAAATGCTGAAGTTTTATATTTCCAAGCCTTGATATAACAAGATAGAGCAATACCAAGGTCCATACATACCTAATCTCACTAACAAATGAAGACACTTAAGTAGCAACTGCAAATAGTAGCAGATGACAGGAGTAGATGTGAAGTGTAACGTAATAGTTAAGATTTTTCACTTTAACACCTCAGTTAGCTCTGTCTGGTCTATTTCAACCGACGGAAGCCAAAGTTCCGCATCGCCAATCTTCTGTACAACAAGACCAGCGCTCCCAGGATTCTCATACCCAGCCTCCTTTTGTCGTTTATAGCTCACCATGCGCAACCGTTGGTTCTCCCGCGGCGTCAACTGCAGGTAAATCTCCACTCCGATAATGTGCATGGCCATCGCAAGCCACACTGCCAATCCAAATGAGACGTGGAGATTTGCCCCAATCCTGGCTGGGTCCCTGATATTTTTATCTGGATGGACGATCGCTACGGGCTTGTAGCCTGGGAGCGGCTCTGAACCGTTTGGAGGAGGTGAACACATCGGATATGCGACTAGATAGGAGACAGGAACCTTGTAGAACTGCCAAGTGAAATTGATCTTCTCGCAGGACCAGACTTCGTAGTAGTCACCAAGCCTGACGGCAGTTCGCGTGATGATTTCGAGCAAGGGGCGGATGGTCACGATGCTGCTCGATCTGCAGTCGGCGGATGTTGTAGTAGGCTATGCCGACGCTGACAGTGCTCATTAGAACCAGAAGGCCTATGGCCAATTGTATCTCCACGCCGCCGCCAAAGGCATGGCGGGTGATCATTAATGCTCCAGCGTTGGAAATGAGGAACAACGTGATGATGATGTATCCGTTGATGCGGTGGAAGAGTATTACTCGATATCGAATCGAGGGAATGAACTGAAATATCACGAGGATTCCGCAGGGGAGGATGGTGCCTAGATGAAGGGTGATGCCGACACGTCTGAAACCGGCATCTTGATAGAACCACTCTCCAGGACCGGTGCCGTTGACATAACGTCCGCCAATGTCGAGAAATTGTAGACGCGCAAGAGTAAAGCCAAGCAGGCCGCCGGCAAAGATGAAGAAGAGTATAAAATTATAGGACTTTTTGAACCCTAGAAATATAAGTATTGACCTCCATATATTCATCATGGGGAAGAGAGGGTAGCTGTGGAATGAGTCCGGAAAATGGGAGAAAGGGAAAATGATATGGTTTAGAGCTGGCGAGTAGCCTTTTAAATACCTGGGCAGATATATATATAGATATATATGCTTTTTAGCTACCTTGAGGTCATTGGCAGCAGAAGCAACAATGACTGTGCATGTAAATTGGCAACATCCGCCACGACTATATAGGTGGAGCAGCATAGGGATAGCAACGTGGGAGATACTATCCACGAACAGGTTTCTTACGCAACTAATGCCTAGGAAAACGTAACAAGGCTCCTCTGCCGCGAGCTGAACGCTATGTATTTCGGTTTTAACTCTTCCGAAATAAAAAAGAGGAGCTGACAACTCTTGAACGGAGTATTAGAAACTAGCCCTCGCGGCAGCTACATATTTCATGAAATGGCCAAGAATTGGGCCAGATATATACTTCTTGGTCATGAATGCACTGTGATACTGAAACGGATCAGTATAATCCTGGGATCTGAGATCTTGTCTCGGTTGGGTACTGAGATTGGCGGCAGGGAGAGAAACCTGTCTTGATTCTTACCGCCGATGGGGTTCACAACACTAATGGTAAATCTGACGGTCACCATTCACCAGGGCTGGATGGTACGTGTCAAATGGACAGGGACTTCAGAAGAATAGTAAAGGAAAAGGCTTCGTTGGTTCGAGGAAGGTATTCCAACGACTGACTCTAAACGGTTGCTGCTGTTTTCAAGCAAATGCTGTGCCAGCTCAGGATGATGTCCTTGCTGTATTCCCTTCACAGAAGGACATATCCCAATTGCGATATAAAGAATAGAGCATGACCATTTTGACAAGGGAAAGATCTCCCTCATGAGGCCTGAAAAGGGCGTGTTTTTGCAAAATACCTGTTCAGCTGGAAGCGAAAATGTAAACTGGGTCTGTCGATCATGGACTAACATAACAATTCCCATTTTTGCCCAGGAGGTTTGAGAAAGAAATGAGCCCTGTAAGCAGATGGGCAATGAACAAGATCCACAGAGATCACAATTGCCCCGTAGAGCAACAGGGCTGATAGGATTCTTCCCTCCCCACCCAACCTCTGGCGGGGCCCGGAGACCAGGTATTACGAAATGAGTTGTACGGTGCCAATGCATCCTCAACTCCGAATTTAGATCAACAGAAATCAAGGTCCCACCCGAATTCTCTCGGCCCAGATATTGAATGACAATGCTGAACGATACTTGTTGGGTTGATAATTTTACCATGAAGAGCGTAACTCGTGTGTGGAGTTGGTTACTAACGATCGGCATTGCGGAAAATCGAAGGCTGAGGCATTGGACTAAGGAGTCTCAAGAACGTTAAAAAGGGCTAAGAATAGCCGGGGGAGGGACACGTATCATGCAATCTGAATAACCAGATTCACGATTTTGGTTCAAGTGGCTGCGTCCTCATTCATGGGAACAACCGGAACAAGTGTCGTGTTTCAAAAAATAAAAAATGCCGATCCTTGACACGCCGTTCTAACGGCTCCATCTTGGCAACGTAGCTAGATATTTGCCGAGATCTCTTTACGGCCGTTACCAGGAGAAATTCCTTTCTGTGTTGAGAGAGCGTGGATCCACATTGGCAAGGGCAATTCCATGCATTTTGGCTGGGAGTCTGTTATTTTTAATTATGTTGCAGACGAATTTAGAAAACAGCGTTCCAAACTGGAATAACGATGCTAAAAATGAGAGAGAAAATAAACTGAAAGAAAAATGAAGATGAAAACGACGAAAATTATAGGATATCAATGGACAAGATCCAAAACAGCTTCTCACCCCAAAACAAGGCGCGATATCTGCCTTCGAGGAACAAACTTCTTCAGCCATTGCATTCTCGAATCATGCAAGGTACGCATGCTCGAGCATCGCAACTGGGAGAGCCTAGCAAGTAAATTGGGCAGTATCGGTCGCAATACTGGCGCGCGAACCAGCACCCTCGATACGTGGCCACCAGCGCCTGTGAGAGCAGTTAGTGCGATTTTGCCGCACTGGTCGGAGGAGGAGAAGGGGGTGGTGGTGAGAAACACGGAGACACACCCCCGGCGGTGGTCCTTGGGTTGAAAGTTGAAGTTTGTGTGTGCTGATGATATCACCCTTCATTTGCCGCTCAACTTCATCAAGAACGTCCTTCAAGCTGCTGATGAAATCATACCGGTCCTGCCCTTGGGTGTGTCTCTTCTTCCGCTCCTCTTCTTGCTTCCTATCTCTTCTTTTCGTCTAGCCTCTTTCCTGCTTTCTTGTTTCTTCACTCCTCTTCTCTCTGTCCTGTCTCTCTTCTTCTCGTTTGCGAAATGCATCGACTTCTTCTTTCGTTCGCTTCATCCTTTCCAAGATGTCGTGGGGCCTCCATTCCGAATACCCCCTTTCCTGTGCTTCCACCTGCCGAACCTGTTGTTTTCTGGCCTACATGCCTCCCTCGTATTTATCCCATTCACCCTGAATTCGCTCATATTTGCAGTCAAAAGCAATATTGCACGCATTAATACCCTCCAAGCCTGTTTGTGTTGCAACCCGTACAATGCTGCTCTTCGATAGCCACCACGTACCATATCCCAAAGCCCCAGTCAGTGCAAATATGCCTGCCCAATCCGACCGGGCCTCCAGCACAATCTGCTGTGCCAGGCCCTCAATAGCATAAGAATCATTTGCACTAGTGAACGTCTCATCTGGCATATTGATTCCCAATATCTCGCGCAAGGGAGCCCATCCATCACTCAGTTCCATCAAGTGGAACTTATGTGAGGGGCGTTATTTCTTCACTTATTTATGTTCGTCCATTCATTCTGTATAGGGTATCTCAGCATTGCGCCTCTGCAATGATAATAATGAAAGGGAAGGGAGTGGGGAAAGGCAGCCGTTAGAAGGAGAACGTTCACAGGACCGAATTGCTCCTCTTATCTAGAACGTACCAAGGAGTGTGGGTATGTATACATTGCCCATGACGCATCATGCCAATGGATCAAACAAAAGAACAAGAATACCATATAAAACGGGTTAAAAAAAAAAAAAAACCAAACAACAAAAGACATCCACAGCTCCAAAGACGGACCTGACCCAACCAGCATCAGATATCAACTCGTCCATGGAACCGGAGTCAAAGCCCAGCCCCGGACCGCTTCGTCGGTGCCTCCCAATTCCTCCACCGCCTCCCCGGATTGCGGTGGACAACTCACAACCTCGGCATCCGGGTATATAGTTACAGCACTTCTTCTACGAAGCAGTTGCCCGGTGCGTCCGTGATAGGTACGAAGCTAGCTGCGGCTTCATGGAGCATCTGTGAGTCTCTGTGCATGATGAGTTCACTGAGCAGTCTTTTCGGTGTTAGAGTCATTGGTAATGTTCCTAATAGCTGGCATCAATTACGTTTTATGAACTGTGTGTGTGTGTGTGTGTGTGCATGATACATGAAGAGAACACCACTGCTCATATTTGTTTGTATGACAGAGAACATGTATATCAATTCAATGATGACTTTTTGAGTTGCACAGATGTTTTTTATGTTGAAAAAAATTACAATACTTCTCACTCTGTTTATGCTTTATTTTTAATTGTTTTATTTTTCCCTCCTATTCTCCTTTTTCTCACGAAGTGGAATGTGTTCAATGGAAGCAACAGATTTGTAAAAGGAGTGTATTAACATTGAGGAATCCAACCATCTATATTCCCGATTTTCAAGGCTAAAACGTAATTATACATCTGCTCTAAGAGGATATTTTCCTAAAAACCTGATTATCCAACTTCTATCACCTAGGTTATACACATCTATCAAAATACAGTATTAAGAACGGCATGACTATAATCAATCATCCGGAACACCCCCATAGGCAAGAGTGCAACACCAAAAGCAATATCAAAACACTGCGCCAATATGCCCGAAAAAGAAGAGAAAAAGGAAAAAAGAAAAAAAGAAAGGTAAACAAAATCAACAAAAATCAAACCTTCAAATGCTCCACCCTCTTCCTAATCTCACACGGGAAAACATCAATTCCAGACCTCAACACCACAGATTTAATCCGATTAACGGTTACAATACTAACCCATTCCCCTGCCACGGATGGCTGGGCTAGGAGATCCAAACAGGCCTCCGCCTCCTGCTTGGAGATGGGACACCGTAGGGAATCTCGAATATTCTGAATGATGGTGTTCCATCGATACGGCTTTTTGCGAGACAGGGAGGTTGTAAATGTTGCACGGCTGACAGAAGATGATGATGACGACGACGACGACGACAAAGAATTTGAAGATACAAAAGATGCAGAAGATGCAGGCGCCGCCGACGATGCCGGTCTAAGTAAAATCAACACCCCAACAACCTCCTCAACCAAATCAACCGCGGAACGGCGCAGGAGAGCCTCCTTAGTCGGCGGCGGAGCCAGCGTCGTCTGCTTGAGTTGTTTGTTCTGGATCCGTTGGAGAAGCCCGCTACGACGACTGGCTGCGGTTGGAGAAGAGGTGACAGACACACCTTTGCCGTCTTTGCTACTACTACTACCACTTTCAGGACCGGTGGCGGCAGCTTTCAGTCCCACCATGCCCCGCTTGAAATCGAGAAGGCGTTGTTGTCCGATGCGGAGGGATGTGAAGGCTTTTGTCGAGTCGTGGATTGGGGCTAGGGGGATGGCGGGGGTGGGATGTGTGCCCGATGGTGATTGGTTGTGGGTAGAGCTGCGCCAGATGCGTTGTAGGTTGATGCGGAATTTCGCGTTTAGCTCTGCTTCGTCAAAAGGGGGTCCAAAGTTGTTCATGTTCTTCTTCGGGCTCCTGCTGTTTTTTGGGTCCAGGAACTCCAGACATGTCTTGCGGATTCCATAGTTGGCGATTCTGAAGGTCATGCCGGAGTCATTACTCTTGTCGTCGCCTTTGCAGGCTGGCTCTGTGTCACTCTCCAATATGTATAGAAGTCTCTGTAGATCTTCTCTGTGGACCTTGCGCTTCTTCCATATCTTTTCTGTGCTGGGGAGTAATAGGTTAAGATCTGCGGGGGTGCATAGTCCATTGTGAGAGTAGTGGAGGGATAACGCTGAGAGAAAGGAAGAATGCAGAGCGATGAGGTCGTGGAAGGATTGCGGCAGGTTGTCATAATCGGATATCTCATTCGCATTTGTATTGGTATTGGTATTGGTATTGGTATTGGGATCGGTAGTTGTACGGGGCAGAGGGTTGTTTTTGTTTCCAGTGGCGGAGAGCGAAGATGGGCCAGATGTTAAAGCCTTCTTCGCTGGTGTTAGGGAAGAGGTTGATCGCGTTGTAGGAGATGGAGAAGGAGGAGAACAGGTTTTCGAGCGCAAGACCGATGATTTGCTCAGCCGCGCTCCCTTGGACGGTCTTTCACCGATTTCGTCACAGGAGCTACTATCTTCGGCGCTGCGGCTGGTAACTTCGACCAGTTGAACCTCGATCTCGCCAACCTTGCGCTTCTTGGAGGAAAGGACATCTTTGGCATCGAATTGGCTTGCTCTTGACTTTGTCGCCTTTGCAAATTCCTGTATCGCGGTTTGTTGCGGAGGAAGGCAGCGGGTTGACGCCCTGGACGGGCGCGAGAACTTGACCCTTGGGCCCATGACTGATGACGCTTTCTTTCCCCGTCGTCAGGGATAAGATACTCTGTCTCTAAGTATTCAATGTAAGGAGCTACTGCGTACGTATGTACAGCAAGGAGGACGGGAACTAGGAAGGGGTTATGGACATATAGATAGGTGTAGCGAAGAGAGAATTTGAGATGGAGACATTCACAAAGCAGGCCAAACAGTGGGATGTCTTTCTTTGTTTTCTTCTTGTTCTGTGTGAGGGCTCGCTGCCCAGGCTGCAATGAAGGAGGATGCATATTTGGATTTCAAGGCGGGAATGCGGGGGTTGGTACCAGCGACGCGATTTGGGACGCGCTTGAAGGCGCTTAGCCTAATCGGGTTAAATTCTGGTTTCACTACTAATAATCTGGCCAAATAATTTTAACTAAACTAGTTGGTTATATAAAATATTATAAAGTTATATAAAAAATATATTAATGTTAATGATGTAAATAAATAAAAATTATGGTCGCTCTTTAAATACGTAATATATGTAATTTTAATATAATTGCATATAGTTTACAATTATTCTATACATTACTTTTTATTTTATAATATTTTTTTAAAAAATATAATTCCTTGTACATCTGAGATCACGATACAACTGACAACGGTTTGTAGTTTACAGCTTGTAGGTTCGATTCAATCAAATTTAAAACGATGAAGCATCCCCGCTCAGCACACATCCTCCATGCTCTACTTATCCCGCAAAGATTGCCTAAACAAGACCTGGTCCAGGCTCTCGAGTGGACATCTCCTGAGCTTCTTGAAGCAGGATGTGTCGCCAATGGACATGGACATAGGCGATCGAACATGGGACGAAAAGGGGAGAAAAAATAAACAAAAATATTCCAATAGTTAACTCATATTTCGCCAGGGACTTTGTCCAAAAATAAAAATAAAAATAAAAATAAAAATAAAAGGAGAGAGAGAATCAAGTTTCAAGGTCAGCATTCACACCCAAAATCCATTACTTCATCGTAAATCAGCAATCCCGTTTCTCATCATGGTCATCATCTTCCTCATTTCTTGCCAAACCACGAAGACACTCCGCTCTTAGCCTCAGCCGCCTTCTGCTCAACAGTCTTGTCGAACGCGTCAATCTTCGCATTTACATCTCTGGCAGCTTCGTGACGGGCCTTTTCGAACCTATCGACACCTTCCTTGGCAAGATGAGCGGCTCTTTCATCCGCTCGCTGTGCTTTCTTGGCCTGAAAACATTGCCGATCATTCCGATCGGATACATTGAATTAGCAATGTTGCATGTGCAATTATCACTTTAATTTTGATTTCATGATATGAGTTGCGACGTGGTATAGTAGAAGTCGTGCACAATACTTATGGTTGAGTGGTGGGTATTTAAAAAATAAAAAAAAAATAGGGTGTGAAAAAGGAGGAGGGAGCAGAGGTTGAACAGGGGGGTAAGAGGTGAAACATTGGCTACTTACCGCCTCATCTATATCCTTCCCGAGTTGCTCAGCGCCCAGCGCCTTGTTGCTCTCGCTTCGAATCTTCGATCCTGCGCGTGAAGCATCATCTACAGACCATGAAAATGCGCCCACGCCACCACGGTCAGTTCACCCATTCTCGATCCAATTTTCTTCCACTGTGGACTAGTGCAAGCAGGGGAAGGGAGACGGGTAAAATTGGCTCCTGAGGAAGCCCAAGTTGGACCTCCGCGGCTGGAGCTAGAGTTATACGTCAATTTGAGAGCAGCCCGCTCACCTTCGAATTTCCGAGTGGCTCTCTTAGGATCGCCTCCGGCGGAGTATAGATAGTATCCTCCCGCACCAGCGGCGGCGAGACCTAGATACATCGGCAGACGTGACTTGGACATAGTTGCTTTGATGTGAAGAGGGCGCAAAGGGGGGAAGTAGAAAGGTGGCGGTATGCTGTTTTATTATCAGAGCTCCAATTGGGAATGGATAGTTTTGTTTAGAGTCCCTTTTTCGCCTCTGGGATATCGCTATGGATTTGGGAGGAAAAAAAAAGGGGGGGGGGGGGGGTATATTGATAGATGGCAGAAATGGGTAATTTTCCGTACAACTCATTGGCAAGGGACTATTAAGTGAAATATGCCTGGTTTTCCGGCCATGGTCAGGTTACGCGCCTTGTGGGGAATTGGTCTGCTAATGTTGTATGAGAGGGGGGGGGGGGGGGGTGAATTTTTCCCGGGAAATGGGACGATACTTTATATAAGGACGTCTAGCAACGAACGAGAAACCTTGGGGGGGGGGGGGGGGAACCATGACGTTGAGCCGTTGCTTTCGCTGTTGGTCCCCGCGGCACCCGTCACTGGCAGATCTGGCAAACAAGGCGGCTAATAATGTCAGGCAGGGGACTTACTTTGGGCGACCGGGACAGAATGACGTTATGCTGAACCATGTTGACAAATTAGGTAATTCCCTCCTCCTTGGAAAACGCGAGTGGGTTGGCACGTGATTTGGAGCTCGGTAGCGCCGGGAGGTGGTTTGCAGGATTCGATAGCAGCCATTAATTAAAATGGGTTATGATTCAAATCTACTTGGGGCATATCCAGCTATCTATAGGTACCTAGCGATATATATGAGGAGATGTTACAGGAAGAAAAAAGACCAGACCGGAATTTAGAATAAGTATTTAGAGCCCTTCCTCCCCTTGCCTTGTTGTCAAAAATACGGGGGAAAAAGGGAGGGGAGGAAGAAAT